AAAAAGTAAGCTTAATTGTATTAACTAATAGACTAATATTAAAATTTTTTTTTATTAATAATCTATTATATTAGTTATTTCATTATATACTACAAAACTATTAAAACCAAAACTTTAAACTAATTAAAAATAGGTTCTTTTAATCCAAAATCTGACGATATAAAACCAAGACGTAAGTTTAATGTTAATTGTATTGATTGATATTAAAATTTTTATTAATTATTTTTATTATTATATTAGGTACTCCGCGGTTTGCCGATCAATTAGAACCAAAAAGTAAGCTTAATATATTAATTGTAGTACTACAAAACTATTAAAACTAAAACTTTAAACTAATTAAAAATAGGTTCTTTTGATGATCTACGATCTCCAAAATCTGATGATATAAAACCAAGACGTAAGTTTAATATATTAATATATTAATTGTATTGATTTGATATTTAAAATTTTTATTAATAATTTATTATATTAGGTACTCCACGGGCGGCAGGATTGCCACCAATAAGTAAGCTTAATATATTAATTGTATTAACTAATAGACTAATATTAAAAATTTTTTTTATTAATGATCTATTATATTAGTTATTTCATCACGACCTCTGTATCCAAAATCTGATGATATAAAACCAAGTCGTGAGTTTAATATATTAATTGTATTGATTGATTGATATTAAAATATTTATTAATAATTTATTATATTAGGTACTTCATTATATACTGAGCCATCAAAACGATTTACAGATCCAAAAAGTAAGCTTAATATATTAATTGTATTAACTAATAGACTAATATTAAAATTTTTTTTTATTTATGATCTATTATATTAGTTATTTCATCACAACCTCTGTATCCAAAATCTGATAATATAAAACCAAGTCGTAAGTTTAATATATTAATTGTATTGATTGATATTAAAATATTTATTAATAATTTATTATATTAGTTACTTCATTGAATACTGAGCCACCAAAACTATTTACAGATCCAAAAAGTAAGCTTAATATATTAATTGTATTAACTAATAGACTAATACTAAAAATTTTTTTTATTAATGATCTATTATATTAGTTATTTCATCACAACCTCTGTATCCAAAATCTGATGATATAAAACCAAGTCGTAAGTTTAATATATTAATTGTATTTATTGATATTAAAATATTTATAATAATTTATTATATTAGTTACTTCATTGAATACTGAGCCACAAAAACTATTTACAGATCCAAAAAGTAAGCTTAATATATTAATTGTATTAACTAATAGACTAATACTAAAAATTTTTTTTATTAATGATCTATTATATTAGTTATTTCATCACAACCTCTGTATCCAAAATCTGATGATATAAAACCAAGTTGTAAGTTTAATATATTAATTGTATTTATTGATATTAAAATATTTATAATAATTTATTATATTAGTTACTTCATTGAATACCGAGCCACCAAAACTATTTACAGATCCAAAAAGTAAGCTTAATATATTGTATTAACTAATAGACTAATACTAAAAATTTTTTTATTAATGATCTATTATATTAGTTATTTCATCACAACCTCTGTACCCAAAATCTGATAATATAAAACCAAGTCGTAAGTTTAATATATTAATTGTATTGATTGATATTAAAATATTTATAAAAAATTTATTATATTAGTTACTTCATTGAATACCGAGCCACCAAAACTATTTACAGATCCAAAAAGTAAGCTTAATATATTAATTGTATTAACTAATAGACTAAAATTAAAATTTTTTTTATTAATGATCTATTATATTAGTTATTTCATCACAACCTCTGTACCCAAAATCTGATAATATAAAACCAAGTCGTAAGTTTAATATATTAATTGTATTGATTGATATTAAAATATTTATAATTAATTTATTATATTAGTTACTTCATTGAATACTGAGCCACCAAAACTATTTACAGATCCAAAAAGTAAGCTTAATATATTAATTGTATTAACTAATAGACTAATACTAAAAATTTTTTTTATTAATGATCTATTATATTAGTTATTTCATCACAACCTCTGTATCCAAAATCTGATGATATAAAACCAAATCGTAAGTTTAATATATTGATTGTATTGATTGATATTAAAATATTTATCAATAATTTATTATATTAGTTACTTCATTGAATACTGAGCCACCAAAACTATTTACAGATCCAAAAAGTAAGCTTAATATATTAATTGTATTAACTAATAGACTAATATTAAAATTTTTTTTTATTTATGATCTATTATATTAGTTATTTCATCACAACCTCTGTATCCAAAATCTGATAATATAAAACCAAGTCGTAAGTTTAATATATTAATTGTATTGATTGATATTAAAATATTTATTAATAATTTATTATATTAGTTACTTCATTGAATACCGAGCCACCAAAACTATTTACAGATCCAAAAAGTAAGCTTAATATATTAATTGTATTAACTAATAGACTAATATTAAAAATTTTTTTATTAATGATCTATTATATTAGTTATTTCATCACAACCTCTGTATCCAAAATCTGATGATATAAAACCAAGTCGTAAGTTTATATTAATTGTATTGGTTGATATCAAAATTTTTTCTTTATTAATAATCTATTATATTAGCTATTTCATATTCAACACCAAAAATTTTACCAACTTCTTTGAATCTACAATCTTCACAATCTTCACATCTTAATATACCTAATAATAATGACTCGAAAAATGATTTAACTATTAATCCAAAAAGTAAGTTTAATAAATTATTCTATTGATTATTAAAATTGTTTTTTTTATTAATAATTTATTATATTAGCTATTTCATATTCAACACCAAAAATTTTACCAACTTCTTTGAATCTACAATCTTCACAATCTTCACATCTTAATATACCTAATAATAATGACTCGAAAAATGATTTAACTATTAATCCAAAAAGTAAGTTTAATAAATTATTCTATTGATTATTAAAATTGTTTTTTTTTATTAATAATTTATTTTATTAGTTATTTCACTGGACACTACTAAACTCAATAATCAATTAGATAATGCTACTTTAACAAATAAAGGTAATGTGTATTTAGTGTACGTTATATTTGTTATAATCGGCTAAAATTTTATTTTATTAGTGAAGGAAAAACCAGAAAATAAAAGTAAAGTAGAAAGTGGAGTGAGTCAACTTCGACGAGATAAAGAACAAAATAAAATAGATAACACTCGGGTTGATCATATTAAAATCCCTGTTGTTAAATCATTACCATCATGGCAAAAACGTTTTATATCATTATCATCACCATCAATACCAAAACTTATAACTAATAATCAACAAGTGATTCAACAGTTAAAATTAACGCATGGTTTATTCATAAATGGATATAATATACAACCTAGTGAACAAGCTATTGTTACAGAAAAGGGTAAATTGGATATGAGTTTATATAATGGACAACCCATCGTGTATACTAATATTAATGATCCAGTTTTATCCGTGAATTTGCTTAATTTTAATTCTGACGAAAATAATTTTATTATTAATACATTACAACCATCTGATTTGTGTATTAATTTTCCAATTGCTGAAATTACTTATAATAGTAATTTTTCAGAATCATTTTCGAAATATACAGATAATGATGAAAAATTATACACATTGTATGGTCATATTTTTGCAAGGAAAACCTTAATTGGTGGTAAATTATTTATTAAAGAGTTAAATTTAGCTACTTTGACACAAATCGATCTACTTAAGTCTTATATATTTTGGACATATAATTCGGCTAAACATAATATAGAAAATCCAATCAATGATTTACCTTTTTCATATTTACCAAGAATTGATACATTAGATGGGTTATTATTAGATACTCCAGAAAAACTATCCAATTGGTTTAAAGATTTATATCAAAACAATGTATTTGATATAATATCTTATAAAAATCTTATTCCAGTTACTCAATTTAAAAACAATCCATTGACAGAAGAAAACTTTGAAGAAAAACAACCTGGGGTTGCTAATTTTAAAGAGGAATTAAGTTTAAAAGAATGGGTCGGGAATGTGATATATATTAATTTAGTAAGATGGATTAAAGATTTTCACTTTCTTCAAGGAATAATAATCACCAAATTTTATAAAATGGAAATAAGCAAAAAAAATGCAGCCAGTTTTATTAAATTACCTATAGTAAAATCAAGTAATAAATCTTATTTAGAAATAATCAGACCAACAAAAAAAGTAGAAGAATTTTTAATTAATAATAATATCTTCTCAATTAAAGACGTGAGCTCTTTTCCCTTTATTAGCATAATTCAACCTAATGATTCAAATTACGGTGATTATAATTTTCTCGTTAAGTTTGAACAATATGAAATTATTATAAAAAATGCAGATCATATTAAGTCTTCAACTGAATTTGAACAAGCTATAAATAACGCACTTAATAGTATGAAGCCATTTAAAGCTTTACATGATGTATTCGATGAATACGGACATGTGTTTCCTCAAAAAATTATTTTGGGAAGATCTTTTATAAGAAATATTACAAAAACTTATGATATTCCTAATAGAATTGATTTGAAATCTGGAACTTTAGAATCGCACTTAGATAAATTAAATCTTTCATATCTTTTAACACGAAGTGGAAATATTATTGAAAAACATGAATTACTTGATTTGGTGCAAAATTTAAATGATGATTTAGAAATTATTGAACTTGATAATATCATCTCTCTTTATGAAATACTTGATAAAGAACAACAAGAAAAAATTGATAATATTATAGCTAAATATAAACAGGATAATCACAGAATTATAATGTCTGGAATTACTGATTTAAAGGATTTAGATAATAATAATACTGATCATTATAAACGTATAAATATACAACCATCATTAGAAGATGAGAATTATGAAGTGATTGGATCAATTATTTCAAAACAAAAGAATTCGAAATTAAAAGAATTTCTTTTGAAATTTGGATTATATGATTTTAATGGATTTTCTGCCATGATAAAAACCTTAAAGAAAACACATATTAAAATAGAAGAATGCTATATTTTATGGATGATTATTGGAATTCCTTCAAAATTATCAGTATTAAGTCCAAGAAACCAAGATTTACAAGTAAAATATGAGTCTGTTACACTACAACCTAATCAAATTAAAATGAAAACACCCATTTCATTATCTCAAAAATATATAATTTCTGTTAATGCTCATCATTCTTACGAGCCTATAAATATCAGATTAGTTGAATGGTCAGAAAGTTGTATTAGTTTTCAAATAAATGGGACTACACGTAATAATTCGAATATTGATTTGAATATAGAGAACATAGATGACTCCAATTCGTTTATAATGTCTGATAATGATTCTGATACTCAACAAGAAACAGAAAATAATTCTTCAACAAATATTGAAACAGTTGTGAATAACATAGAGTGTAATATTTGTATTCTACGTTCGGATTATAAAACTTTTAGGATTGATAATGGAGATGAGGAATATCCGATAGATTTAATCGGATATAAATTATCAGAAGAAAATTTTAATGAAAATTTAACATTTTCAGATGAATAGAAATGATATAGTTAAATTTCAGTATAAGTACTAGGATTTTAATATTAGAAATTACTAGTTTTAACGATTTTTTTTTAACGATGTTGCTTTATATTTTTTTTTAACGATGTTACTTTATTTTTTTTTTTTAACGATTTTGCTTTATTTTTTATATTTTATTTTATTTTTTTTTGTGTTCTAACGATGTTGTTTAATATTTTTTTATATATCAATAGTTTTATATTATCATATAAATATTATATTTCCCCGTTATTAGGAAAATAAATATCAATTTATGTAATACCCTTATTTAATCAATTTTCAACGCGTTACACGTGATCTATTTATGACATGATCTTTTTAATCACGAGAGGATCCAGAAAAAATATATACAGTATACAGTATATATAGGGTCTTTGAATCTTTTACTATCAGCTATATGCGGGTTTTTCGCGATAGAACGCATTATTAACACCCGATCTGTAAAATACGCGAATAAATTTAAGACCTTTAGTTAGATAAATTTATATTTCTATTTCTAAAAAAATTAATTTTTTTCTCTTGAGGCAAAAACAAGATTTATTTATATGATCCGCTAAATATAGGTCAAAAAGTCGTCTCTGACGCAAAAATTATCTTTTTGGCCCTCCTCGTGTTATTTTTTTGACCTGCATATACTGTATTACATATAGGAGGGTCAAAAAAGGATGTCGTACAGGGTCAAAAAGATAATTTTTGCGTCTCTGACATACCGATCATCAAATTAAATCGCGACATTGTTAACAGTTAGTGATAAGATGATAATTTAATTACTAATTATTGTATCTTGTAAGTTGTAAATATACGTACTTTACTAATAAAATAAAATAAAATAAAAAACATTTTGAAATTTCTAAATAATACTTTAACTAATCAAATATTACTATATGAAGAAATTGCTTATGTTATTTTAATTCTTATTCTAATTTAATAAACTGATTTAATAATAATACAAATGTTTCAATATTTACTCGTATTACAAAACTTCAAGTTTTAATGGCGGATGGTTAGCCAAATAGTAACAAAATATATATAAACACGATTTAGAGAATGATGAATAACAAGATGTTACACGTTTTTTGATTAAATAAAAAAATATGAACGGAAGCGATTATAAAGTTAGAAATCGTTGACAAACATTAAAAATAATCAGGAAGATTACATCCTGATAATTTCTAACAGCTCTCTGAATATGCCCGAATGTTCCTGAAAAAATTTTGTGCTAAAATGGACGAACTCAAATATAAATTATGTACTGTACGCAATGAACGCTTCCTAACAATTAATCTTATAATGAAAAAGTGCCGTCGCTGTTATAATGAAAAAAATGATCCAAAAAAAAGTACTCTGCGGAAAAAACATGGATCCAGGTGTACATAAATAGAGGAAATGTTAATTGCACAAGTAAGTTTCAGTATATTGCCTACGTTGAAGAAAATACAGACTTCATCACCTAAAATATATTTGTTATTAAAATAAGTTGATTTTGTCATCTGTAGAATATGTTATTAGGGGCGATCATTAAATTTGTTATAAAACTCTAGTACTGTCATGCGTAGAACCAGCACATATATTCTTGTTATGACCAATTACTGCTTGCAAATCGAATCCTTTCCTATTAAAATAATCCACAGGGAATAAATGTGGTGCCTTAATTGGTATATGGCTACCATCGATAGCACCAATGATATTTCAACCCATTTATAATTCCATTAATTTCTAATTATGTACTAGGAAAAGCTAAAAATTCACAATTAATACATTAATAAAATCTCTTAATGTATAGCTAAAAGAAATGGATTAAGATATTTGTGAACTTGAAAGAGACTGATAAAAATATTAAACATGTCAAAAACATTGTATTAAGCAAATAAAAAAAGAAAAAACATACTGGGCGTCGCTAAAGACTGATGATGATGTCAACCAATCAAAATTCTGAATTTTCACATGATCGGGATCAGTAAAAAAACTGATACTGTGTATAAAACAAATCTCTTAATTATTACTTAATTTTTTTTTTATTACTTAACTGTTAATTTATTTAGTTCATCATAGAGCTTTAAAAATTTGCTGTTAATGTGACTGCGTAAATTATATACCGCAGTTCGAATGTTATTGCAGAAAAAAATATACTTGAAATCTTAAAAAATTTCATTATAATTAAGTCCAAATTTTCATTGTATGAATTGTATAATTTTTAAATTGGTAACGCCGATATACTATGTGTATACAAAAGCAAAATGATTTAATAAACTAGATCAGAAAAGATAAATATTTAATGATGAAATATTAAGTAATTTCTAGATTCTTGTCTTTTCTTAATCTTTCTCCTAATAAAATTAACATTTTCTTAACCATTCCAACAAAATTAAATGTTTCTTAAATAAGTTATATCTCTTATTGATAATTTGAAATACTTCATATTCTTATTTCTCAGAGGTGCGGAGGGAAAAACTAGCAGTTATCTTTTCTTCATAAGCTAAAAAATTCTAAAAATATCGTAAGTATGGTTGGTACCGGTGGAAGAAAATAATCAACCACCACCATACTACATAAAAAAAAGCTTCCAGAAAGGTTTGGATACCAAACAAATGAGCAAGGTACATATGCTAACCCTCATCCAGGAAATCCAGTTTCTCCTCCCCTTCAGCTTTTTTTGTCTATAAGCCTGTTTTTACACACACACAAAAACACACACACAAAAACTGAAAGGCTAAGCAGGGATCTTAGCTTACTTAATAAATAATAAATAAATGGAATTTTTCATACATAAATATATAGTGCTCCTCAAAACCTTCTTTACCTTGGGCTCTCTCTTAAAGAGTCAGTCGGCAATGGTACAGGAGCTTCTCTCTCCAACGACGCGTAAAATCACTTACAACGCGTCATATACAAAGTCTCTTCAGCTGCTATATAACTATATTAGACCCATTGATAACACTTTATTGTAAATAAATGTGTGAAAATAAATAGAAGTATTTTTAAATATTATTTTTTTTTTAATGTAAAACAGTAAAAAGATGTCAATAATTTGATTTAAACAGTATTATTACATAATATATATAATAAACTACAGACGCGCTTATTACATAAACTACTAATAAAGTTAATAACGTCATAATAATATAACTTATTATAAGAAAGTACTGTATAGTTATTATCCAACTATTAAGTTGACTTACGAGCGGTAATACGATAATGAGTATGATATGACCCCCATTGTATGTATGGTATGGTTTTTATTGCCTATACTGTATAGTTATTAATTTTATACAGTATACTGTTACTTTAATGTTAGGATTAGGGTTAGGATTAGGGTAAGGATTAGGGTAAGGATTAGGGTAAGGATTAGGGTTAGGATTAGGGTTAGGATTAGGAGAATTAGGGTTATGGTTAGGGTTAAGGTTAGGGTTAGGGATTTGGCTATTTAAAATATAAAGATTAGAGTAGTTATACAGTACGGATAAAAAAACTATACTGTATAAAATGAAAAACTATACCATACATACAACGAAGGTTATATCATACTCATTATCTATATACTCACTTCCAAGTTATCTAATAATCCAAAACAAACTATATTGAGGAAATTGAAAAAGAAATTGTAGATATTTAAATGATGATAATATTCTTAATGATGATAATTAATTTGGTAATAGGTACATAACAAATTAGGCTTTTTTAAAATGTTCTTTTTTTATCATCAACCATACAGTATACTGTATATGATAAAATGGCCCTGAGACGGCGTCAAGTACGAACGACCAAACAACTGATATATCAACTTAATCTTTGCGTTTACTATAGATAGTAATGTTATTAGAAATGACAGTTGCATGAATGATAACCGGGATTTTGTCTAATAAGCATTTGGTCAAAATGGACTTTAGTTGCTAATTAGGCTGAAACGGCTGAAAAGGTTAATTTTAAGAGATAAAACTCAATGAAATATTTCATGATTATTTAGCCACAATGAAATTTAGGAAGAATTGATTACGTGAGTTATTAGTAATTTATAAAACCTATTTTTTATCAAGAATATCACTCATTTAGATTAAGTCTGTTATTTATATTTTTAAAATCAGGTAAATCAGGTGGCGTAGTATTAGATAATAAATGAAAATAAATCATATTACGATCCTTTATATTGATCATAAATATCAAACGTCAAATGGCTTTATATTTTCATTATTTTCATTAAAAATGGAGGAATTCTCATATTAAGTAGAGTCACTTCTAAAAAAAAAGAAAAAAGAAGCAATCAAACAAAGGACCATGTTTCAGTTTACAAGATTTGTGGATCCAGAGAAATCCAAGATATGGCAGTTATTATGGTATGAGCAAACAAACATCTTACGAAAAGAAAGTTATTAATAAAACAAAATTTTAGGATAGAAGAATATGAAATATTTCAAATTATCAATAAGAGAGATTCTCTCTTTAATCTTATTAAAAGAATATTTAATTTTTATTGAAAGAATGGTTAAGAAAATATTTAATTTTTGAGGAGAAAGGACCATTAAAGTCGTATTTAAACGTTAAATATTAACCTTTTCTGGCTTAGTTTTATTAAAAAGTTTTAAAATCAATTGTGTGATTTTTTAAACATATAAAAAATATTCAGATTTAATAAAAGAATTTTTTGAAAATTTAAGGTATATTTGGATTTGGTCGTTAAAAATTTAATACACTAGTAAAGTAATAATATAAATGCGTAATTGGAGCTCGTTATATTTTGCGTAATGGTTGAATCTTGATGAACTAGAAAATTTAATTCATTTTCTGAATTAATTTGAAGACAAAATATTAATGAAAAAATTAATAGACATTAAATTTTTTAAAATTTCAATTCAGTTTATAATGTACATAAACCATCATGGCGGATTTATGAAATACCCAAAATTTGTTCGCCATGTCAAATTAAATAAATATTTGCCAGTATTTTAGTCCCCAAATTTTATTTAAGTCCCCAAATTTATTAGTGAACAGTCAAACATGAGCCCCAAAAAATTTTATTGTACCCAAATCTTGCGTCTAAATATTTCCATTGACATTTTTTAGTTAATTGATATCACGTGTTTCTGTACGCAGCAGGGTTTTTACCAAATTTCATCAAAACGTGAATTTTTGTGATCATCAATCTATCCGCCTAAATGCACTGTCTGACCACAAATATTTTTATTGCAGGACTTATCCGTCTCATAAGGTAAAATACATACACAAAATTCAAAATATAATAAGTAAAGAAAACAATCATTACTTCTTAGGAATCATACATAATCCTCGTATAATAAGTAACACAGAAATGAATAATCATAATGAACATGCAGTTTTGCTTGCGTAACAAATAGATCGTCATATGATATTGTGTGCAACGTTACTAACGTTACTCGCATAAAAGCAAAAATTTCAAAAAAAAAACATCTTTACATCTTTATCATTAAAAAATGACTTCCAATAAGACTATAGTATTTGTTGAAATTGTTGGTGACTCAACACCAACAATGAAAAAATTGAATCTTGAAAATAATTTATCCAATATTCGTAAAGAACTCAAGAAAAATATTAATGATATGAATATATTATTATTCGCAATAAAAGTAGGTCAAATATTTGCAAAAACCGAACCTGATGATGAAAATGATACGATTTTAAATGATATTATATTTGAAAATTCAGGAAGTAAATTTTTATATTTAATGAAAAATTCGAATCCAAGTTGGAAATATTTGAATGAAAAATGTAAATTAGATTTTGGACGTATTACGAGTTTTGACGGAATTAAAGAAGCTAGTAGTAAAGCGTTTAAAATGAGGGATTGTGAATTTAAACCAATTGATTCTAAAGGATATAAAAAGGGTCGACTTGAATTTAAATCAGAAGAGGATTGGATGAAGAAAACAAACTTATTTTTTGGTATAGACATCAACGTACAAAATTTTATAGGATTAGGATTATCAATTGGAAAATCAAAAGATGAAAATTTTAAAGATGAAGTCAATTCAACTTATGTATATACAGAAATTGGTAAAGCGTCATTAAAATTTAATAAGGAAAATTTAGAATTAACTTCTCACTTTAGTAATGATGTCAAGAATGCTATAAAATCCAAAGAACATAATAAATTTAGGGAAATTATTGATAAATATGGACAATTTGTTCCAACTGAAGTCATTTTGGGAGGAAGAGTTTATTTTAAAGGCGTCAAAACATTATCAGAAAATTCTACAAATAAAACTAAAGAAAGTTCTGTGAACATGAATTTTGGACCTCCAATCGCAAGAATAGGAGGTAATTCTAGCGACTCGGAAAGAAAATCTGATTTTTACAGTTTTGATCACATGAAAATACTTGGAGGAAGCCCACCTGTTGATGAAAATTTCGATGAAAAAGTTTGGAATAAATCTTTAGAAGACTATCGAACTTGGGATTGTATAGAGCTTAAGAATCCTATTAATATTTTTAAATTACTACCTGATGATATTTACAAAGAAGCATTTAAATCTATTGGTAAAAGAATTCTGCGTACAATTGTTAAGGATTATGAATATCGTTTAGATAATCCTGAAAGGTACCAAATTATTGAATTAACGGATGAAGAATCAAAAATTATTTTAAATAAAGATGCAGATTGTGATATCTTTGCAACAGTTGTTGATGATGATGAAAATTCAAAAAAAGTATTTTTTAACTGTCAAATTTTGAAAAACCAAAATGCAAAACCCAGTATTATAATTCATGTTATACAAAAAGAACCTCAAAAACGTATATGTAAATTGAAAATTGGAATAATGATCATTGGTTATGATGTAGATTTTAATTTTATTAATTCAAATGTTAGTGTTGAATTATTAGTAAATAATAATTATAATTTTAATGATGGATTAATGGCAAATAACCTTTTTTTGGGAATTCCCGTATTAGAATATTTCAATCATTTGAATGATTCAATTACAATCGGTCATAATTTTCGCGAGTTAAATAATGAGCTTATCATAGAACCATTTTCTTATTGTTCAAAAAAACATTGTTATCATTTTTCTAATTTACCACAATTCTCTTTTTACACAATTGTTATCAAAAATTATTCCAATATTTATGAATCTCGTATATTAGAATATCCAAAAAAAGATGAAATTAAATTTAGTGATAAATGTCCAAAATATATTAGTATGTATTTTTCAGAAGCTGATAGTTATTTACCAGTTTTTATGAACCAAAAAAGTGAAAAGGTTTATTTAAAACATTTTTGCAATAAGTGTGAGAAATGCAAACAAGAGCCGGAATATAATATCAAATTAAAAACGTACAGTATTCTTTAATCTATTAATATGAAACGTTATTATATATGAATATTTTTTATCAATAAAAAATTTATAATTTACCAAGTTATTTGCTAAACTTGTCATTTATTAAATTTGTAACTAATCAATTCGTTCATATTATGTGCCACAAGGTGGAGATTTACGGAATGAACAGGCCTACTGTCTGTGCTCCCTCTATGTTAAGTCCACGAAGCACAAGTATCTAGGCTGTCAATTCGTTTATAGTATTACTTTGGTTAATTTTTTTTTATTTATATGTTTTATAAACTAGCTCAATTACGGCTAACGCGTCTCTTCATAATAAAATAAATAACTTTTTTTAAATAAACAACTGGCAGCTGCAACATTTTGAATAAAAAAGATGTGTAAATAATAATTATATTTCAAAAACTCTTACTTCAAATAAATGAAATTTTGATCTCGAGAATAAATGCATATGTGTATTTGGACCACATTTTTTTCTTTTGTAGTTACCATTTCGTTAGCATCGTTATGTCAGTAGCATGACAGAACAATTATTGACTTCTTCATTATGGTCTTTAAATTTCTCAAATGACGGTAATGTTATAATTGAATAATATAATAATCCGACTGTTAATGTCTTCTTGAACGTGAATTGAATTATATCGAATTATTAGAAATAAAAGAAATTTTAACTTAAAATTCCATTAAATCCATCTTTTTGTAGTCACGATCTCAAATTCCAGTAAGCCTGTCAACATTTGGTTATGGTAAGCATAACGATAAATATATTTTAATTGGCGACTTCGTCTAAGATCTGCAGAAATGCGAAATTTGACAATAAAACTCATTTTTCGCGATAATAAATATATTATTTCTTTAGCTTATTATTTTTTCTTGAGTTTTTTCACATACAGTATATGATATGATTTTATAGCGTATATTCAAATTTTCAAATTTAGTGTTTTTTAATCATGCAAAAATTGGGAAATAAAGCCAAATCTGTTACTGCCTCAATGTAAACTTTTTTTAATTGCCACTTGTTTGTTTTACACAAACGTTTCGTCATATTTTTACAATAATAAATATACGATTTTTTTTAGTTTTTTATTTTTCTTTGATATTTTTTATTAAATGATTTTCTCAACATGTCAATAAGTTTTCATAATTTTAGTGTTTACCACGGCAGTCATGCAAAAAAACATAAGGTAAAAATCTGATATATGTAATGTTAAACTTTTTTTTACAATAATAAATGTACAATTTTTTTAGTTATTCTTTTTCTTTAAGATTTTTGTATATATGACTTTAAATAAGATTTTGCGATTATACCGTAGTGTTTGCATATTTATTGCCAATTAGATGCGAAATCTTCACCAACTTTTTATACGAAAATTCTGTTATCCTCAATTGACTTTGAACACAAATGATTTTAGTCTTTCCTCACTCCCAATAACTTAATTTACAATCGAGCGTGCTTGATTAAGGATTCTTATTTTAGTTGCTTCATCAACTACACTGGACTATGTATTTAGTATATGGTTCCAACTTTTCACCTTTTGCTTATCAAATTAGTTACCACGATACGCGTGTCTATCAGATAAATTAACGATAGTTGTTTTTGGTTTCACGAATTCACGGGAATTTAATTTTATACATAATCATACTGTATATAATTGAAATAGTTCTTTAATACAATATGCCATGGAAAAAAGTACTGCATGTTTGAAATATTATTAATAACTTAATGTAGCTTTTATTGATAAAAATACATGGTAATAAATACATAAAAATTACAAAAAAAAAAAAATCCGAATACCATTCATTGCTATAAAAAATAAAAACATAATAATTTCAAATTACCTTATTTGAATTTTGTCTCGGGATATCTTTAACTGGTTTACCCAATACTTCTATCAAAATTATCCCTAGTTAAAATATATCCGATTAAAAGACATTCACTTTCTTTATTATTATCAATCCTTAAACTTTTATAACTTGTAAGCGGAATACAAACATGTAAATCTACATCAATAATATCTTTCTCGGTGTCTGTTGAGGTATCATTTAAATTATCTTGAGATATTTGAAAATTAATAGAATTATGTGACCATTTAACTAACTTAATAATACTTTTAGGTTCATTTGTTGATGAATGATGTGCGTGTGCAAAAACAGTATACCCTTCATATAAAGTAAAACAAGTATCAATAGTATTATAATTAAATTCATTAGGTTGTAATTTAATGGATTTTTTAATATAATCAACTTGTAATTCTCGATTATTTGGACTAAAAACCAATAATTGTGAGGGTATTCCAATGATTATCCACGAAATATAACATTTTGTTATATCAATATTTGTCACTTTCAACTTTTTTATTATCGCATAAAATCCATTAACGTCGTATTGTCCAAAATTAACGTGAATTTCTTCTAATTTTGCGTTATTTTCTGAAATGATTGATCCACATACTTTATAATTTTCATTTTTCAACGATGATTCTAAATTAATACGTTTGTAATGGAAAACGTTAACTAAATCACCTTTAAATTCGTCTTTCAAATATTCCAAATCTTTCAAATCAGTAATTCCTGTCATTATAATTCGGGAATTTTGGAAATCATTAAATTTATCTAAAATATTACCTATTTTTTTTTGTTGTTCTTCTTTAAGAATTTTATAAAGAGGAATATTATTATCAAATTCAATAACCTCCAAATTATCATCCATATCTTCTATCCAATAAGATAAATTATCTATTTCAACGTTTTCTCCATTTTGTGTTAAAAGATACGAAACATTTAAATCATTTAGCGATTTAAGTATTTCATCAACATCATTAACATTTTCAAACGTATTATCTGAAGAATTTGGTAAAATAATTTTTAAAGATCTTCCTAAAATAATCCTTCGTGAAAATAAGTGACCATATTCATTAAATATATGTTGTAAATCTTTTAATGGTTTCATACTGTTAAGTGCTTCTTCTATGACTTGTTCAAATTCTTTTGTTGGTTTTATATTATCTATATCTAAAAGAATTTCGTAACGTTCAGATTTAACTAGAATGTAATCAAAACCTTCATAACTCTCACCGTCAATTTTAATAAATGGAAAGGAACCTAAATTTTCAATTGGAAAAATATTACTGGAAATCAAGCCAACTTCCAATTTTGTTGATGGTCTGATCATTTTCAAATAAAATTTATCACTTAAATTGACTTTAGGAATTTTGATAAAATTCATGGCAATCTTCTTGCTAATTTCCATTTCATAATTTTGATTAGTCATTAATCCATGGAATAAATTAAAATCTTTAGTCCAACAAATTAGATTATCATACGCCGCATTTCCGACCCAATCTTCTAAGATTAATTTTTCTTTGTCGACAATTCCAGGTTGTCTTTCATCACAAGTCTCAGAATCATCTGGTTTACTGTTTCTTAATTGAGAAATGGGAATTAGATTGTTATAAGAAATTATATAGACTAATTTTTCTTGATGCTTTTGATACAAATTATTTATCCATTCATAAAATTCTTCATGAGTATTTAATTCTTCCCCATCAATTGTTACTATTTTTGGTAGAAGGTTCAGAGTAAATAAATTATTAAATTCAACTTTTATAGAACATTTAACCAAATTATATACATAAAATAAATAATATTTTAACATATTCATTTGTGTTGAAGTAACTAAATTTAGACTTTTTAAAAATAATTTACCACCAATTAAAGTTTTTCTTGTAAAGAAATGACCATATAGATCATATAAATTTTCATCATTATTATCATATTTTGAAAAAGATTTCAACAAACCACCTTTATAAGCAACTTCAGCAATCGGAAAATTAATACACAGTTCGGTTGATTTATTTATCTCAGTATATACTATCGGTTGTCCATTATATAAACTTATACTTAATTCACCATTTTTCACAAAAATAGCTTGTTTACTAGGCTGACCATCCAATAGTAAGCCATGATTCAATTTTAAATGTTCAATCACTTGTTGATCAGATTCTATAAATTTTAACCCTTTTATTGCTATTTTTGTAATATGATAAGGTTGTAGCTCTCGATGATTAATAGTTATAGGTTGTGGTAACGATGGTAATGACGTAAAATGATCAGGACGAGTATTCTCATCATCTGTACTATAATCAACATAAGTATTATCGTCATCCGTTATCTCTGTATCACTATTTGGAGGTTGAATCGCTCCAGTAGCATCTAATTAATTTAGTAAATTATTGTATTAGTAAAAAGTTTTAAACGTATAATAAAATATAATTAATTTACTAACTTGTTGAAGCATCATATTCCATATGTAGTACTTCTTCTTGACATACTTTCTCCAAATGATCTAACAGTATAGTTCTTGACTTCTTTCTCGTTCCTTTGTTAATCCTAATAATAACCTCTTTATCATCATTATCATCATCATCATCATATTCAAGAATATTTATCGGAGGATTGTCTACATAAATGATACCTTTACATGATTTAATTATTTTGGCATTTATTTCGCTTTCCTCACACAGTTTCTCTTTATCCTTTTCGCATATGTCTTGATTTTTAAAGTTACTAAATTTAGTTCTCACAATAGTAGTACATTTAAAAATATCGCTTTCAAATAGTCTCAACGTGTTTATTTCATCTGTGAAATTTTTACCAACCACAAGTAAAACTTGGTTTATCCCTTCTGATAATGGTACCGAAAAGATTCCTTCTGCTATTCTATTTGAAACTTTCTTTGTAGATAGCCCAGTGCTTCCAACTCCAGTGGTATCAATCACTCGATATTTTGTTCCTTTCCATTCGAAAACTCCTTTTTTAAAATGTTTAGTCTTGCTAACTCCGTATTCACTTTCTTTGAAACCTTCAGTTTCAGTTAGTACACTAGCTAATGTGGATTTACCACTACCAGTACAACCAATTATTAATATATTCTTAATTTTCACTATTTTTTCTTCTTTTTCAATAACTTTCAAGTCAGTTGGTTTAATAAGTTCAATATCTTTAGGGCAGCTGCTTATATCAAGACTAGTTAATTTACTATTATTAGAACAATCAAGATATCCTAATTTAAGACAATTACTTATATCTAAATTATCTAGTTTGTTATTATTAGAACAAATGAGTTTGATAATATTCGGACAAAGATTAAGGCTTAATCTTTTAATTGAGGTGTTTGAACAATTGAGCTCAATAAGATTACTAACGTCTAAATCAGTCAATTCAATTAATTGACTATGAGAGATATCAAGCTTAGTTAATCTTGAACAATTACTTACAAATAAACTTTTAAGTTTACTAAGCTCAGATAAGTCAATCTTAGTAAGTTGAGGACAATTAATTATTTCCAAATCGGTTAACTTAAGCTTTTCTAAATAAATACTTTTTAATTTCGTAAAATTTTCTATTTTTAAAGGGCCATGAAGGTTTGATTTCACATTTAATTTATTACGAATATTCTCCTTTCTTAAATCTATTTTACTTATTTTTTCTTTTTCATTTAAATAATCTTGAGGATTTTTTCTCAATATATTTTTCCATTTTAAAGTACGAGAAGTTTTTTTATTGGAGGACATGTATTTGTTTAAAAATTTATGTATATTATCACGGAGTAAAATAAGGTTAATTTTCCAATTTATTAGTTCTAAGTGTAACTAAAGGTCTATATATAAAAGGTGATACGGATGTCCGGGATGTCTCGTCCGGCACGTGATGATGTACAACACTTCTGACGTACTCGTTTTGAGAATGATTAGCCATATCGTAAATTTTTTTATCGGAATTATGGGAATTATGCATGCAAGTTCGGCGTAAAAATGTAACGATATTTCATTGTAAATGATTTATTAAGTTTAGTCTTTTTTTCATACATTAAAACATTTAAAAAAAAATGGAGTTTTTTAAAAAATAATTATAAATAATAAAAGGTTATAAATAGAATTAATTCTGAGATTTTATAAGCTTTGAATCACAAAAAAGTACGAAAAGACCAAAAAATCTTATAATTTTTTTTACAAAATGAGTTGTTCATAATTATTATTTCAACTCATTTAAAAGTTTCTGATAGAAACAATTTTTTTTTTAAAAAAAAAAAGTGGAACTGAATCATTGTCTATTTTATCAAACTAATTTTATTTCAAATTATAATGGACTCTAAGCTTCAAACTATTTTATTAACGCATCTTTCAATTCTTTCATGTAACGCTGCTAACTCGGGATCTGCATGCGCGTAATTTTAATCTGAAAATGATTAACATTGCATCATTGCATTATTGCATTAACGCCTTTGTCTCACGATTCATATACGCAATCTACGGTGTACCGTTTGAACGAAAAGTGCCAAAATTTCAAAAAATTGATTTTTCGATTTTTAAATTTTCAAAATCTCCTTATAAGGAGATTTTCCTTATACCGTAGCAATCTCTCTATCGTCATCATCGTCAATTCGGCAGGAGAAATATTTATTATTAAGTTATACAAAAAAAAATTCAGGTTAGTTCAATATTTTGCCAGTTACACAAATGGTCATATAAATGTTTTAAGTCAGTTTGAGAGCTTTTTAAACTTCATGGTTTAAAAAAAAAATAATAATAATACGATATATATTTAGTGAAAATTTTTTGATGAAGATTTAATGAAAAAATGTGGATTTAATCTTTAGAACATTGTCAAAATTGAGATCGTATAGAATTACAAGATTCAGTTAGTATTTTCAACTCTTACCTAATGATTTACGTAAAAAAACTTTGAATCTCTTGAAAAAAATATCCTTTATTCAGAAGCCATAGATGAATATATCTCAAATGAAAGTGGTAAACCGGAATTGCAGAATTAACGAGTATAAGCGTACTAAAAATATTTTAGATATTCTTTTTTAAATAAAGAAGCGGAATGTAATATTTTTCCGACAGTTGTTGATACAGATGAATCCAAGAATGATTTCTTTTACATGCCAAATCCTTCTTCCAAGCCAAGTCTCATAATTCAAAGAAATATCAAAAAATGCAAATATAAATTAAAGATCGGAGTAATGATTGTTGGTTATGATACAAATTTTGATTTCACTTGTTCAGATTTAATGTCCAATTGAAAGTTCTAAAGCATAAGGTTAATACATCAAGTAATCAAATAATTAATATGGATTTATTAGATTTTGAATATAGAAATGAACTATCTTATATTGAGATTCCTGTGTTAAATCAAATTCTTCAAATAACTCTCTTATTATTGGATATTTTTTTCGAAAATAAATTAGAGCATGCATATTCCCTTATTATTGAAAACAAAGTGTTATATTAGTTTACTTTTTATGTACTAGTACTCTTTAATGTTGGTGATAATTTATTACTTTTCGAGTTTAATATATTTAAAACAGTACCAATTTTTCGATTTCAGAAAGAAATTTGTTTCACATCAAAATTTCAGATATATTTCTAAGTTAAGATTGGAAATTAGAAATAATCTGTTGGTTTTAAAGATGTTATTTTATTTTTTATTATGTATCAATATTATTATATTATTACAAATATAAATAAAACATTAGTTTAAATTCAGATATTATTAATTATAACTTCATATAAACTTGCCATTATAAAATTAAGGGATTAAAAATGATAATTTAATTACCAATTGTTGTAGTATTTATCTCAATTTTATGCATTGATATTTCCTACTTTAATAAATTTACAATATCTTTACCATATAATTGTAAAACATATAGAAAATCGTTGTTAAATTTAAATGTTGAAATTTCTTCAACATGCTAGTTCCTGAGAATGTTATTATGGGAAACTTTGCACAATGATTCAAAATCAGATAGTCTTAAAAATTAGATATATCAAATTATTTATTTAATTATGTTTATATGAAATAAATTTAATAAATTAATAAAGTGAACAAATCAATTTATGACTTATGTAATTACTATTTGTTGCTGACTTAGCCAAGTCTCTTAAAAAACTTGTTGTCACCTGATCACCACGTTGAGGTGCAGCAACATTGATCAGGGGGGAAAGGGGAATACGAAAGGGAAGGGAAAGGGTACGAAAGGGAAAGGGGAATACGAGAGGGAAAGGGGAATACGAAAGGGAAAGGGTACGAAAGGGAAAGGGGAATACGAGAGGGAAAGGGAAAACGAAAGGGAAAGGAGAAAACGAAAGGGAAAGGGGAATACGAAAAGGAAAGGGAAAACGAGAGGGAAAGGGGAAAACGAAAGGAAAAGGGAAAACAAGAGGGAAAGGGGAATACGAAGGAGAAAGGGAAAAGCGAAAGGGGAAGGGAAAGGAGCAAGGAAATACGCAAACATACACACCACCCAACACACAAACTCACACACAAACTACACATAACATACCTAAAGGAAGACGTAAAGAAAAGGAACCTAAGAATAAAGAGAAGACCTAGACAGAGTAAGAGGCAACCTAAAAAAAAGATAACGATAAGGAAAAAAAAGAAAAAGTAGGGTCTTTTATATATATTATTTGTTATACAAACTTTTATATAAAATCTAATCTATATACCAAAAAATTTAAATCAGAATGACTCATGACTTATTTGCAATGACTCATGTACAGTACTTTCATTTCCCGCCGTAATACATGTGAAAAATTTTTTTCGCGTAAGTAACTTTTTTTTTTAAAAAAAAAAATTAGTAACGCGTTTATTAATTATGTCAAGCTCATAAAATGAATACATAATTACATAAACACCTAGAAAGCAATATAAATAAATTATATTACCCTCTATAACTAACCGATCTATTCTAAAAAAATTACTACGATAAATCTAAAAAAAAAACCAAAAATTGTCGGTTTTTAAAAATCTATCTATTGTGTAACGTAAGTAACTTTTATTCATATGGCTGATATATTACCTAATTATATTTACTTATATATCACACCAGGAAACGGGAAACCGTACATCATCACGTGCCAGTCCTTCGTTACAAAAAAAAGAAGGTATAATCAAAAAAGGAAAATGCAGGGGTGAAAATTACATGGGTTAACTATCAAAATCGTCTAGTGCATAACAAGCTCCGGACAATAAAAAAATGAACGGAGGTGACTGTAAAATAAGAAATCGTTGATAAACATTAAAACTATCAGGAAGAAAGAATTAACATCCTGATAATTTCAACAGCTTTCTAAATGTGCCCGAATGTTTCAACAAAATTTTGTGATGTAATGGACAAACTCAAAACATAAGTTATGTTTTGTATGCAATAAACGCTTCCCAACAATTGATCTTATCACGAAAAAATTGTCGTTGCTGTTATAATGAAAAAGTTCTCTACGGAAAAAGGGTATACTTGAAGAAATAGAATGCCTTACATAAATAGAGGAAATGTTAATTGCACAAGTAAGTTTTTCTTTTGTTCAGTATATTGCTTACGTGAAAGACAATATAATGTATAGTCTACGGAAGAATCATTATTATTGGAGATTTTAATGTTTGCCAAGATTGAACAAAGTAAAATTAATTTTATATAAATTATGTAATCATAAAATAATTTGTAAAAGATCAAAGTAGGATTTATATATGTATATATATCAAAGCTTAGTATTTGAAACCTGTAATTATATTTACGTGTATGTAATGCAATTCTATTTGACCGGGGTTACCGACCAAAGTGACCGTTAAAACATAAATTACTCATATTACTTATAACCTCGCTACCCCGATCGTGATTTTTTATTTTACCTGTCATAATTTCCTATATTATTTTCAGATATATTTCCTGATTTCATATATTAACTCATTTTAAGTAAAAAATTACAGCTCATTTTTTATTGTTTAGTAAACAAAATTGCAAAAAAATGGATGTTATCATAAATAATGAAATCCTTTTATAAATTTAAATTAAGTTTGACGTTTGACAAATAATAAATAATTTTATTAAACAAAAATCAAAAATAAATTTTTATTAGCATTATTAATATATTTTGGTTGAGCATACTAGGTCAGTTTTTTTCGCGAATAAAAATGTTTCAAAAAACTCGCTTTCTCATTAATTTTATGATTTCTTCATTTCTTCAAAAAAATGCAGAAAGCTGGAATTTCAAACTCAGTGATTATTTATAGTGTGAAAAAATTGATCGGATACATCTATTGACACTATGTAACTGAGCTAAATAAATTGATATAGACAATCAAAAATCGATTATTAGTAACTTAAAAGGATTGCGCCATAATAATAATTTTCGATAAATTCTACCTCAATTTATGAGAACCCGGAGAAGAGATCCTTAAGATGGATTTTATCCAATTAGCGATAGTATCAACTGAAGCTGGCGTGTGTGGTTCTTTTGGAATAAGAAAAAGTGCACGCTTCTGTTCATCGGTCAATTTCCAAGGGCTGGTCGCAATAAAAGTGTCGTTACAAGCAGCATAAGGACAAAGAAGTTGTTCATCAGGATAAACGGCAACATATACTTTCTTTGTTAGGCATTCATGAACGTAAATTTACTAATACTCGCTCATAGTTCATCGCAAGTTCGCAACTATTGCTAAGACGCAGAATAATAAACATCTTATAGCTCCGTTTCAACAAAAGACCAGTTAAACCCTTATTCTTAGCATCTGCTTATACACTATTTGTAAATTAAATTCATTATTATCCATTAGCCCAGTATAAAAAATTTACTTACACAATTATCATAGTTGCTTTTATCGCTTGATCACGTGATCGATGATAAAATTTGAAAATTTCCTATTTATGCAAATCCAGTTAGCCCCTCGGGAGACGATAGTCCAATACTCGTAAAAAGATAAGTTTCGAGTATACTAACTATTAGTAAATTACCTCCATATAAAATAACTTAATCATTGGATCGTATCTTTCATGAAAAGAAGTATCGAACGAACTTTATTATTTTATTATTATTTCGAACATACAATATTTTAATAAGTACAACAAAATATCGACAGATATATTTATAATACTACAATGACCCTTATTAAATATTCCCTCATAACACCTCGCCATTTCTTTCCCAAAATTTTAAAGCTCCCTAAAATATGTTTAAATTAATTTAATGAGTTCACCTAATCGCCTAATCCTACCAATTATTTGCATTCTAATTGGTTAAATATGACACTCATAATAATTTTTTATTTTAGAAACACCATCTGCGTTGCGATATATCTATTCAGTGCTTCATTAACTTTGCTGTCTGCAAAATAAGCGTCGTAATATGTTTTAAAACCCTTTAGAATGCATAATACCAAGTCTTGATTCATTGTAATATTGTTGATTAAAATTCGTAAATATTGCTGCGCCATATCGTCGTGTCCCCCCCCTTAATTTATCTCAAAATCTTCAACTGTTTCCAAAATTTTAAAATTTTTTAATACACCTTTTTTCAAGAAATTATCTTTAACGTTATCTAAATCTTCAGACATTTCATAAACACTTTCAGATATACTTAAAGATAAAGGATCTCTTGATCTCCAATTTTCTAAAAACCATTCAAAATAATGAGATCGTAATTCACAATTCCCAACAATTTTAATATCACATAAAGTATTTGAAGCAAATCTTTTAATCATATTAAATAAATCAAAACCTTCAGATTCCATTCTTATTCCATAAAATATAATACCTTTTAATTTATTACAAGATTTAATTAATTCTTCTAATCCAAAAGAATTTTTTCTATTATTAGAAATTTCACTATCTTCATAAATAAAAGTTGAAACATAATTAATATTTGGACAATGTTTTGAAATAGCTTTATGATAAGATTCAATATCTTGATAAGTTTCATCAGGTACAAAAGAACCAAGATATATATGACAAAGATTTCCAATAGTATTCGATATTAATCTAGTTATAATACTCAACCTAGGAAGTTCAATGTCAGTTGATAGATATTCCAATTTTAATAATTTTGTTCTTTCTAAATAACAAATTTCACTTGAATTTAAACTATCACCATAAATATCAATTTTTAATTTTTTCAAATTAATAAATGAAGAAATAAATTTAATAGAAATACAAATATTTTCGATTAATTCCAATTCAATAAGAGATTTAGATTGATATTCTGATAAAGCCTTTCCAATTTCATGACAACCTCCAGGTTTATCACAAGCCTCACAATATAAATATTTTAAAGAACGTTGAACTTTTATCAAAGAAATCAAACCTGAATTATCAGATCTACAATAAGGAATTTTTAATCTTTGAATATTTTTACAACATCTTGCAAGTTCATAATAAAATAAAGAATTAATATCACTATCACATTGTAATTCAACTAATTGAGATAATGATTTTTCAGCTCCAAGAAAATTTGATATTGGATAAATTTGATGTTGATCATCATCTTGAATAATGATTCTTTTAATTGAACTACTTTTTGATATTAACATTTTTAAGAATACTTGTTTTACTAAAGTTACAAAATCTTCATTTCCATTACTAAATTGTTGTTTTGTATGTGATATAATTTCATTTAAATTATTGAGGTTAAGATATCTGCAATATATTGGATATTTAAATAATGGTTTATTAAAAATTATTCTTTTTTGCGTTAAATCTGTTGAATTTATATTACATAAAGATAAAAATTGTTTTGTTTCTTCATCCAAACATGAAAATAAAGTACAAAATATTCCAATATAATATTTTTCTTTAAATATGTTTTGTTTAAATGGGTCCCTCCATAAAAGTGGTACACTTGTTTCGCACCATATTCTATTAACTAATAGACATGAATGTAAAGTTTTCGTATTATCTTCTAAATATTGAAATATTTCGTATAGACAATCTGATGTAAGTTTAGACATTAAAAATAAATTTTTTTTTTCTTTTTTTTTTAAAAAAAAAAAATAGTAGTACAGGAACTGGTTAAATAAAAAAAAAAAGAAAATTTAAGGAAAGTTCGGAAAGTATACGCCGATATTTATTATTTATTTATACTTTTTATTTATTTTGACTAATTTGTCACTGTAAGGTAACATAAATGCCGCTACACGACTGACCAACATTTCATAGTGATACAATATTTGGAAACACTGCATATCACAATAAAATGTTACACGTGAGATTATGCGTTGTGTTACGCCATATAGCCATACACCTTTAATAGAAAATGTTACAATGATCATTTATGTTATTTTAAGTTAAATTAATCATCCAATAAATCTAATTTTGTCAATAAAACAAAATTACTTGGACATTACCGCGCATATCATTTTTAATTACTAATATGATAAAAATCATCATTTTCAGTTATTACGTACAATAAAAAAAAAAAAAATGTGTGTGTTTGTTTGGAATTATTGTCTCACATGACCAACGTCCTATAAAAAAAGTAGATACGTTTTTCATATTTGAAAGATACTTTTGTATACTACTGAGAAATACGAGTCTTTATTAAATCTATTATAAACCCATAGTAACAAATTTTGAATTATTTCACATTAAAGAATAATGTCAACTCCAAAATCTTCAACTAATGAGTCATTAAAGTTTTACCTTTACATACAGAGAGTTTCAAAAAACATTTTTTTATCACAATTTTTGTGGTTTTGGAGGAGAACCATACATTGTTGACGCCTATACTCTAAAGTAAAGTATACTAACATTTTTTCAGAGCCGAAATTCCAGAGAGCATCTAAAAAAGTAGATAAATTTCTACTGACTGACATTATCTAAGAAAGGATAGATCCACACAATTATTTCCGTACCTCGTATAGCTCGGGTATGCGTGCCGTATATTTGCTGATTGACTATATTCATTAGTAAGTTTCAGTTTTCTATAGTCAGGAACCTTCAAGATTCCTTTTATTATAATTTATAAGAAATCTTACCGCTTCCAAGGACTTATAACAATAAATTCCTTAATAAATTTAAGTATTCTTAAGGGATCTTTTCCATCTACAGAGAAATCTGTCACTAAAATCTTACTGATATTTAGGCTCCATTAACTGCTTAAAAGTTTCAATTTACGTAATAAAATATCAAAATAATAAGATTTCAATTAATTTTTCATGTCCATTTTTTCTAATTTTGGCTCTCCGCGTACTTTCAGGAAAATGTATCATTCAAGTTTTCATCGTAATAACTTCGATCTTATTATTACTTATCCATAAAAATTTTTGATAGATTTTAAGCTTTCAGACAGTAAGTACTAATTTAAAAATATTAATTTTGTGTTATTATTCATTTCTTACAGAAATTTCATCTATATGATTATATTATTAATGTTCGTACAAATATCTTCTGTATATTCCTCAACTGAAGGACGACTAAATCTCATCGTTTTCGATTATTTCTTAATTAATATAACAGATAATAAACCGTTATAAACTTGTTTGCACATCATGCATGCTTCAAATATACTTTTTGATGGTTGCAAATTGTAATTACGTTACGTGATCCGTCTAAAATCCCGAAATGTTATAATCCCGAAACTTATAATACCGACAGAGTCATTACAGTAATCCCTGAATTTCATAATCCCGAAAATCATCCCGAAAATCATAATCCCAAAATGTCAAAACTCTGACACTTCATAATCCTAAATTACAAAATCCTGAAATAAAATCGAAGATTTAAAGATTTAAGAAAAAATTTTTTTTTTTTATTATTAGATTTCACTTTGCTTAGTTATATTATTGTTAATTTGTTTTTAATTTTTTTTATGAAAAAAAAAAAAATAATAATAATAATAACCGACAAAGATTAATAAAAAAGTAATTTATATTCATTTTTTTTTAAAAAAAAATAGTGGCAGAATTTTTAACAATGAAAAAAATCTATTATATTTTATTGTGTATGTAATGGCGAGAATTTAATGTTAAATATCAAATATTATCTATTAAAAAAGGTTCGTCAACGTAAAAAAATTTTTTAAACAATTTTAAATAATGTATCTTCGATTAAAAGTAATTAAAAGTTAAATAATAAAATTATATTTTTATTAGAGAATTATTTATTATAAATTTATATAAAATTAATTAATAAATGAAAATAAAAAAATTATAATTTATTATAAAAAAAGGTAAAAAGAAAAAGAAAATAATAAAAACAATATTTTTAATATGTTTGTTCAAGCAGTTGCTCCAGGTGTCGAATTTTTGAGATTTTGAGAATCGAGATTTTGATTATATTTTTTTTTTCATTTTGGAACTTACTTTGTCGGTTTTATAAGTTTTGAGATTATTATATTTTGAGATTGAAGTATAATAGTATATTATTTTCTTTTTTTTTCAATTTAAATTATATTTATTTACGGTTATGCTTTAAGGTGTTTATTTATATTAATATATTATTGTATTCATACCGTCAGGATTATGATTTATGAGCTTCAGATACCGAATCTGGACATAAATTCTTTTTTGTAGATCGGCAGAATCTCGTTCCAAATCCGTAATCACTTGTTTAACTACAATAATGGATTTTTGTCTACATATCTTTAGGCGTATTAAGTTTAAATACTTCTTTATTAGTAAAATTTCAGAGTCTTCAAAGATACATATGATTGCGATTGATTCTTATTTTATTTCTGTAATTTTTTCATATTACATGTAGGTTCTTCAATGATCATTATATGTATTTTGTATCATTAGAGATAATTGCTTTGAATGACCCTAGTTTTTCCTCGTCTATATGTCTGATTTAATATAATCAAAAGTGATACTTGCTGAAAGATATGTGAAAAAGCAAGATAATGAAGCAGGTATCTTTAGTCAGTTTAGTGCAGTTACAAATATTTATTTATTGAAAGCATATGGATTTGGTATCTAAATTTCTGATGGAAAATATAATAAACAGTTCCATTGATCTTGTATCATATTATGTTAAAAAAAGCTTTATTTATTCATGCATCTGAAGGGGTTTCTGAAGTATAGAAAAAAATTCCCTTCGCGTAGTAGGAGGTCACGTGGGGAAATTTCACATTTGACCCGACATACCTACAATACTTAATTTCTTAATGCCGGCCGAATACCATAATTCCGGTCAGGGAGTGTCGTGGATTTGTTGGTAAAGTGAGAATACGATTTTATGAGTACTGAACTTTCACTATAATGAATACCAGAATTTTTTGCAAATTCATTGTTTGTAACAACTTGATCTAATACTTATAGAGAAATTAGTACGGTAGCAACTCATGCGGATATTTTTTATGAAAGGAGTTTTTTCTTAATATACGTCATTTTGAAATAGTGGAAAAAAAAATATTTATCTTTAATAAGAGAGAGAATAGTGATAATAATTATGCAAATAAACAAATTGAGACTAAAGAGAAGTGAAAGCATAATTATTTTTATCTCATCGGTATTATGTATACATCGATGGATTTTACTCCACCGGTATAAAAAAAGTATAAAAAAGTATAAAATCCATAGGTGTATACGTCATACACAATGAAGATAACCATGGTTACCTAATAAATACTCCATATACACCGATGCCTTGGTCCCCTCCCCGAAGGGAGGGGAGCGATTCTTTATGGTTTGAACAAAATTTTTTTTTAATGCAATTGATTTATTTAAGTTATTGAAAATGCATACCGCTCATTTCGCTCATTTTGAACGTATATTATACATTGATATGTAAAATTTCTATGTCTAATTACATAAAGAATAATATAATGTACACTATAAATAATAATTTGATTTTAAGACTTTTACAGACTATTTATTATGCGCGAATCCAACACTTGGATTTTCCACTCTAAATACGGAATATACATTCTTTAAAAATGGTGTACCAACAAGCCAAGTAACATTTTTTCCATCAAAATTAAATCCAGGAACAATGGACGAGACACAATTACTTCCATCTATCGGTGCAGTAATTAGGTCTTTGGGATTAATTTCAAAATTAACACCTCCAAATTTAAAGGCAACTGCGGAGGTGGTATTACATGGGATAATGAACATACCGCTCTTAGTATCTAAAGTTGCTCCTGGAATCTGGCTATGAATTTCCGCTGCGTCATTATCGGGCAATATAATTGTTGAAGTACCAGTATCGATGATAGCGTTTCTTCCTTTAAAAGCTAATGATTTTTTATTTACACTTGCATCATCTACATTGATTAACCAAAAAGCTAACGTATTAACAGTAGGACTTATGGGAGTATTAATAACGCGGTTAAAAGTAATTTTCCCTTTGAATTTGCTATTATCAACACCACCTATGGTAAGTGTTCCTTGATCATTGAAATTTGAAACACGAGAAAGATGAAAACTAAAGAGTGGATTAATCTTTTTCTGTTTAATCAGGGTTGATATTAAAGTCGGAGCGTGATTGTCCATAGTGTTCAGACTATCAAAGGCCAAACCACAAATTCCATCAGATTCAAGATTAACGAACTCATCAGACAAATTATCCGCTAATCCAAAAATTTGTTTTTCGGCAGTAAAATCACCGATTTTAACATTATCTATTCCGGTGACACCAGAAGCGGCACCAGTGCCAAAAGTGATATTCCATGGATTACCCTCTTCCTTAAAAGTTTTTGATTTTTTTGTATCAAATGAATTATGATTTTGGCAAGCTGCAGTAGTACAATTAGTATTTGGAACAAAGATATTTGAAGACCCGGTATCCATAAGCATATTGAAATTTTGGTTTCCGATCTGGATTGCTGCGAAATAAGCATCATCAAATTGTATGTCTTTTATATCTATTGTACTTTGTTTCTTCTTCGAGTATGCTTTATTATTGCTTTGTTTAAAGGTAGCATGATTGTTAAAATTTTTTGAACTACTTTTTTCCATTATTTCCTTGGAATTTTTATATTTATTTAGGGCAGCATCTCTCAAGTGTTTCGCATAACCCATTGAATCCATAGATCCGGAAGTACGATCTCTTCTAGTTAACCTGATGGTATGCAAAGGTCTAGCATTTATATCATGAATAACAAGTGCAGAAAAGATGACGAAGAGAAAAGCCAGCTTCATGAAGGTCAACTTCATGGTTTCAAATTATGAAAAAATATTAATATTAAAATTATTAAGTTAAATCGGAATAAATTTCTAAAAAAAAAAAAAATGCGTATTTGAGAAATTAAGGATATTTTATAATCAAAAAACTTCGAAAAATCGTCATTGTGCGTAAAATTACAATTCTATTAATAATATTTCTTGGCTAGTTTCACATTAAGATAAACAGACTACATAAGTTTTGAATTACGCCGATCATTCTTTTTTTGGATAGTGCCAGCCGGTGTTATGCGAATAGCAAATCTCATTTACATTATTGACTTTAACTTTTATAGAAATTATTTTGCTTGGCATTCCATAAAAAGATTTAATTGGCAAATTTCGTAACGTACGGAGGTCTAGTAATGGAGTTTCATTTTAAAATTGACAAAGGAAAACAGGTTTATTTAGTATTATCTATGGAAAACAACGTTCTCCTTATTTACCTTAATCATTTGTTTTATTTGACTTAAAAAAAAATGTAGCATAAAGCAATTGTTATTTTTTTTTATTTTTTTTTTTTGTTTTGTTCCATAATGACAAAATATTTTTTTTTTCAATGAAGAAGGGGGAAGGGGAAATAATTTAATCGGTCTAATAATAAAATTTTTTTTAAAAATATTTTAAAAGTTTCTAAAAAAAAATAAACATTTTTAGAAAAACTTTCAGTTTCTTTGATTTTCTAATTAATTAAGAGTTTTGGTCCTAACTTCAAATATAAAAATCGGATTATTGATTTTAGCGTCCCCCCGGAAAAAATGGTAGCCGGATGGATTTGCAGGGTTACACGTTACTTCGGACACAGACAGTATATTAAAAGCTTCACAACATAACAACCGGAAATAAATATCCGAAGTCACGTGTGAACCTGTAAATAAATCCGGACGACGCTAACTAATTCCTTTTTAGCCATATATATGCTTAGCCGCCATCTATAGTACTATATAAGGTCAATGTCTTTATGCCTTAAAATGCTCTGTTTATGTATAAAGTCTCCCACGATGTTTCAAAAAAAAAAAACGTTATATTTAACAAAGAATACAATATTCTCCATTTGTTACTTTATTATTATTATTGTATTGTTTGATTATCAACATATATTATTTGTTGTCACACTATAAATTATATAATTGTTCTCAATAACAAAGAAATTGGATCAGCTTAATAATTTATTTTTTTTTAAAAAAAAAATGCATTCACTAATATTTGAAGTTAGACTAGACCGAATCTTGAATAATTTGAAAACATAAATACATAAATGCGAATTAAAACCTAAAATCGTCATTAAGAGCTGCCAAAAGAATGTGAAATTGTGTACAGTAAACATTAAACAAATTAAGCCAAGTTCCATGGAGTAAGTATATAGAAAGTGAGTAAAAGTTTTATTTATTTTTCACGGAGGTTTATATGACAAATAACATGTGACAAATAGGATTTACATTGAAATGAAAGGGTGTGACTACACTTGCCATCCATCCATACTGAATCCCAGATCCCATCCCAACTCCCATCCCAATTCCCATATAACAAAGATTAAATTTTCATCTTATTAATGTAAATAAAAATGCATAAATCTAGTTTAATTAATCACTATATCATATCAGATATACTGATATAGTTTAAAAAAATACTAATAATTGATATAAATTAAATTGTTGAAATAATTTTTTTTTTAAAAAAAAAAATTAATTTTTTACTTCATCATTCATTTAATAGATGGATAGATGAATTTAATAGGTCCCGACTCCCGACGTCGACTATCGAGTTTTCTCGTGTAATCACTTTTCACGTGACTTCATAATACCGCCCGAAATCAAATGATCTACAAAAATTATAGGATAGCATTATAGATTTTATGTCAAAATAGTGTTTCAAACTGGATTTATTTTTTTATTCTTCCTATAATATATCCAGTTTCCTTCGTTTTCTTTGGATTACTCATGAAACGAAGGAACCGAACCTTCAGTTTTCAGATTTATTTATATCCGGTCCCTTCGGTTTATTCAAATTTTAATTAGAATCGAAGGAAAACGGATTTAAATCCCAAACCCTGTCGTAATATACTAGGAAACGGGAACCGTTGGAAGTCCGGAGCGAAAAACTAAAACTTGCGTTTCATTGGGTGACGATCACGTGGCGATCAGAGAAATTCACGTGATTGATTTTTTTTCATAGTGCGTAGACATATATTGTCATTCGCTTCGCTCTGGACAATAATGATTAAAATTGCTACTGTAATTAGAGTTGGTTTCACCTCAATGAAATAAATGGGTAATCATCAGCATATCACTTGATGATTATAAATGATGATACATTTTTGTTGATTGATATTCAGTTTTTTCCCTTTTCGCATGCAGGAAAGGATCCAATTAAATAATATTTATCTCTATTTTCAGTTTCAAGAAGTGAAATAAAGAACAAAAGAATATTCTATAAAATAAAATAATTTTTTAATTCAGTATAATGTCAAAATGTCACCACTGGTGATTTTCACCAGTCCGATTTTTTGAAATTATTCTTAAATTAAATAATCAACTACACATATTAAAATTATTTTATATGTAGAAGAGATTTGTTAAGTTGTTTTCAGATAATTTTTTGAGAAAATGCAAATTTTGATTTTTTGATTTTTTCACTTTACTAAAGATTTTTTTTTTTTTTTTTGACAAAAATTTCAAAATTTTGTTAACACATTTGTTATTAAGTTAAATTTTGCGATCAGCATTTTATAACTCTGGCCAAATTGTAATTTTTGGCCGGAATTAAGGATTTAGTAATACCCTATTTAATTTGTAATTTACTATTTTTAAAATATTTGAAAATTAAAATATAATAAATTTTATTTTACTGATAAATTACTATATGTTAAACATTAGACAACACAAATTCAATTTTTCAGTTCATATTACCCAGCTGGATTACTTTTTTAAATTTTAATAAAAAAGTTTGTATATAAAAGATTGGATATTGCTAAATCTTATCAGTAGTAATATCACCACTGGTAATTTTGTTGCTACTTAATTTTGGCCAAAAATTATAATTTGGCCAAAGTTTAAAATGTTAGTCTATAATTTTAGCAAAATTAAAAAATACTGATTACAAAAATTTTAATTTAAATTATAAATATATTAATAAATATTGATTTAATATTAATATTAATTGATGATGCTGAGTAAAATTAAAATATTTAGATTTATTTGACAAATAATTTAAATATTTAAATTAAAAGATAAAATGCTAAAATTCAATATTCCATGGATTTCCATGGATTTTTAAAAAGAATTTATAAATTATTGTATATCATATAAAATATAATATAATTTTAAGTAGATATTACTAATATTAACTATAACAAAATTTTGAAATTTTTGGCAAAAAAAAACTTTAAAATTTTAACTTTTTAATTTTTTTACTTTATTAAAAGTATAAGACTAATTTTAACCTAAGTGAATAATTTGACTTACTAGTAAATTTTATAATTTGTTCAAATTTAAATGTAAGAGATATTATGCAAAAATATCTAAATAAATAAAAGTGAAATGAATAATAATACAAATAATTTTTTTAAAATTTTTTTTAAAAAAAATAATTGGCATAAAATATAAATTTTTAGGAAAGTGATTTAATTCAGATTATTTAATTCAAAAACATGTACTCACGTTAACAGGAGTTGCAGCCTTTAATATTGATGGGACAATGATACATTTAGGGCTAGCAATACCAATAATTAATAATTCCAAGCATCTTGAAATTAAAGAAGAACAGCTGAAACAACTACAGGATAAATTAAGAGATGTGAATTATATAATAATTGATAAGAAAAGTATGGTTGGTCGCTGAATGCTTACTTTAATCGACATGCGACTCTGGCAAGCTTTTCCAGAGTATAATAATGAACCATTTGGTGGCAGATCAGTTATTATGTTTAGTGATTTCAGCTAACTCCTACCAGTTCTTGATCTTTTTATGTATATTAATAAGACTCCACTTATTTATAATAAATGTCACCGTAGAAAATTGGCCCTTTACTAATGGTTTTTACCTTACTTTTTTCTTAAATTCTATTGGTTAATTAGCTAAAAAGGAAAAAAATCATAACAATGTAATATAAAATTTCCTTTTATAGTAGGATCTGCAAAGAATTTTATATATGATTTTTACCTTAGGCCTGGGGGTGATCTATCTTATAAGTAAGCAGAGTCTTGTCTGAAGTCAATGCAGTGAATATGGATCAGCTTTAATCTTTAGATATTTCTGTTGCTAAAATTCAGGCTATACATTCAGAAAGTAACGAAGTAAAAAAAGCCAATTCAGATACAATACATAATCTCAAAGTGAATATATTACTTGCAAGAGATGTACGAGTCATGTTAACAGCAAACTTGCAAACAGAAAGTAGACTAGTCAATAATTCAATAGGAACAGTCTGAAATATAATATTTGGAGAAGACTAAAGACCACCTTATTTTTCTATAGCAGTCTTGATTTCTTTTAACAATTACAAAGAACCCACTATTGTTAGCTTAGAGGGTAAAAGAGTTGTACCAATTGTATCAATTAAACGCATCTGAACTGGTAAATCTGAAGCTTTATGTTCACACATGCAAATTCCTGTTTGTCTTGCATAGCCAATCACAGTGCATAAAAGTCAAGGTCTCACATTAAATAAGGCCATAATAGATCTTAAAGAGTTTACTGCAGGATTTTCTTTTGTAATAATGTCTAAGTACATGTATTAGAAGATCTTTTTTTTAAACCATTTAGCTTTGAGAAACTTCAGTGCATTAAAGATGGCAAAAGGCTACTTGAGAGAGTTGACAAAGAAAAACATTTAGTTTTTATGATACCAGGAAACTGAGCGCTTTACTGTAGATAACAAATATATATCTAATAATATTACAATATAAAATCTAACAACAAATAAAATTTAAATTTTGTTCTATTTTTTTTTTTACACTTGTTTTTGTTTTTCAGGATTATTATCAATTATAATCAATTCTAATTTTAGATTGTTTTTTTTTATTATTATCAATATAGCACAAAATTAAAAAAGACGTGACGTGTGTGGATAACCAGATATCATCACATGATACTATTTGTCATAGTCTTTCGAAAACATATATAGTCCTTTGCTTTGCTCCAGACAATTAGTTTCTCAAGACTTGTTTAACAAATAATTTAATATTACATTACAAGATCAGATTAGATTTCCATTTTCATAAAGTTTCAAGTGCTAGCAAAATGTTTGATATGTAATAGCTATCATATATGCTAATATATAGTATAAAACTAACTACTACTGTATGGAAAGTAATAATATTACAATAGAAGCTGATCAGGCATAGGGAAACCAAGTCAATTACCAACACTAACCTGATGTAGGTGGATCAACTTTAAACTTCATACATATTATAAACGCTAAATTAACACTGCTTTATTATTGACCATTCAGAAATTAGAGAAAGTGACTAACCAACTCAAACAAAAAGTAGGAAAGCAATTTAACGGTTATAAAATTCACATGTTCCATATTTTGAGAAAAATATTAAGCAGATACACTGCCTTTCCTTTTAGCCTTCTTTCCCTTCTGTGAAGTCGTTTCAACTTCAGATTTATATACATTTTCATTTATAGTAGACTTGTTTACTGACTTGACCATTTTTAGAACATCTTTCTGTAAAAACAAAACCAAGCATTATCAGTAACCTACTAGGACTTTATGAATATTCATCAATTTTTTATCTGGAAATCCATGAGGATTTTTATGTCCAAAGAGAATTGTTCCATATCATTAAATGTATTAGAAAGCTTCAAGTTTACAAATTCATTGTAAAGGTAAACCGATAGAAGAGGCCAAGCCATATATTATATGAATTTGTCCATCTTAGAAAAAAATTATGTAAGCTGAAAAAAATATGTAAAGCCAAAAATTTTCTACCGTACCATGATACTTACTTACGCACTGAATTGTATATACACGAGCTCTTTCACAAAAAATTGTTTCAAGTAGTTTGTTTAAAATTCGCATAGTATTACATATAGCTAAGCTTTACCTTATTATCAACATCTTTAAAATCAAGGGCTTTTTTACCTTGTCTTAAGAACTATCAAAGTACCATTGATTTTATGATTTTTTGTATCTGCAGTAAGCATTTCCATTCTAAATCAAATAAAAGGAAATAGAGTTTTTGCATATACAGAAAGGTAAATCCTGGTAAGATATAACTCAAACTTATTGAAAATTTAAAATTGACACTTACCAATTCTGATCTAACACATCTTGGTACATCCTGAAAAAGCCTATTCAAAATGTATATAGTTGTATCTATTGCGAATGTCCTTTCAAGGTTTGGTGATTTTGATTCAAAATTGGTTGGGGCTTCCAGACATATAGAACTGTTCACCATTAATATTAGTAACACTTTAAAACATAGGTTTACAACAAAGAAAATATATATAATTATATACAAATGCATTGCGCTATGTTATGCCTTTCATGAAGGAAAGGATCAAAGCATCCTACAATAAAAGATTTTTGTATAAGAGTGGAAGTGTGTACACGATTACACGTATCTTCTGTAAACTGACTACAATAATCCTTAAACTCAGGTGTTATGTTTCAAGTTTGTTTTTCTAGCACCTTATTTAACCATGTTTGCTGTTTTTTATTTAACTTTGATTGTATACTTTCCTTCACTCTAGAATCAGTTATATCAATTATTCCATTAAAAAATTCAAATCCATTATTGATTTTCCTGATTCAAGATCCTTGAATTGGCATTGATGTAGAACTTCAAGAAAGATATTCTGAATTAGTGCATCATTCATGTCCAAATGCTTCACTTTCTGGAAGATCAGTTAGCAATTAGAATATATTTTACTATGTGCAAACAAAATAAAGGCTAAGCAACCTCAGATAGTTCGCAATAGTCTTCATCATATAAATTTGAGAATACTTCATCATCATTATATTGTTGTGACTTGTCTTCAACATTATTATGAATCAGAGAAGTATTCTCATTCTCAGGCGAAGAGATAGATTGCGATTTAGACTTAGCCTAAAAAAGGATTGTACTAATTATTTGTTGATATGTTATTGATGACTATTTAACTCCTAGGATATTTATTCAATGATTATCATACCTTCTCTTTGTCAAAATTATTCTCTCATTCAAAAAACGGATTGTTTTCAGCATCCGCAATTAACCAAATGAATGATAATATATTAATAACAGATATCAAAGTAAATGATGAACATGATTAAGCTTACATGCATTGCCTCTTCTGTATGAGTTCTGCTGATATCTTCTTTCATAATCATCAGAATCAGATTCGTGTCCTTTATTTTTTAGGAAAGTTAAACCCTAAATGAAAAGGAAAAAATATTAATTTACTGTGATGCAGGAAAATATAACCAAATACTTATGCAATTTTGTTTTTATCCGATTATTGATTCTGAATCCTCATCATTCATCTCACCAAACAAGTAGTACTATTTAATGACTGTTTGTTGAAATTTAAGATTTTGGGAAAACGTCTCTCTTGTTGTGTTCAATATATGTTGTGTCTAAAAATGAACCTTTTAGTATACTAAGAATGGATGTGATTAAGTGTAAAGTTAACTAATCTGTTCAATATTGATTTGATCCTTCAGATTGTTTAGCTTGGCCTTCTCAGATTACATCCAAAATTTCAAATTATTGTTAGATGCTATCAAATAAAAAGGTCATTAAGATTTTTGAATATACCAGACAACTTACTTGTCGTAGATATGCTTTTTCCTCACTATATATATATGTTCTCAGTTTGAAAAATTTGGTGTAATTCCCAGAAGTGGTTTATTGCTTTGGAATTTTTGTTATTCTAAAAATATTGAGAAAAATTAATAAAAAAATATAACCAGCTTGCCTAGAAGACTGACTGTCTGATTATAAACAGAAATGCAGTTCTTTAATTTTTTACTGCCAAACAGCATTTGACAGGGTAGTTTGTAAAGATATGCTTTTATCACCTTGCCGATCATTTGTCAATCATATATATATATCATATTACTTCTACTTTGAAGTATCAGGTAAAGCCATAAATGCTTAGGCAAATTATACAGGACCCCGGATATCTCCAAAACAGGTCATAAGTCACACTTTCGGCAGATTGGCCCATTTTTCAGGGGCTCAAAAAATCGTTTTTAGTAAATATCTCGGCATCCAGTGGTCCAATTTTGATAAACTTTTTTTTAAATTGTAGAGCTAAATGAGGGCTACAAAATAAAAAAAAGTTCATTAAAATTGAATTACTGGATGCTGAGATATTTACAAAATACGATTTTTTGAGTTTCAGCAAAAAGGGGTGTTTTTGGCCAAAAGTCCATTATGACCTTTATATTAGATATCCGGGGTCCTAATTATACTAATTGTTTTTTTTGTCAGTTTAATTTATGAAAAATATACTATAAAAGTATTATGGCAAAAAAAAATGTATTGCCAAGATTAACCTTAAACTAAAATTTCCAATAATTTGATAATTGCCAATCATTTGCCAATCATTAACTAACCTGATTTTGAAGCTTCAGGTGAAGTCACAGAGTTACAGGCGAAACTTGAAATTTTTAAAATATATTATTTAGGTATTCAAGAATCAATAGCTAAAATAAACCAGCAGAATTTTAGATAAACCATCTCTGTCACATGAATTTTATCAACAACCGCAAAAGTTATTATTAAAAGAATGTTTATAAATATTATTAAAAGGATTTTATAAAAAATTGCCATAGCGATGTGTCATAAGTGTCACGTGACTTTACATATGTGAATAACTTATCACCCCGCGTCACATCCTCTAGTTTTCCATTTTTATTATTTATTCTGGGAACGAATTTTTTCAGTGCAAAAAATACTATTTGTCACTCCCTATATATCACATGCTTAATTTCAGCCAAATTTTATAACGCTGGCCAAAATATCCTTTTTGGAAGCTTTAGGTAACATTGCACAATCAAAAAAAGCAATTCTATTTTTCAGCAAAATTCAAATTTTTGTTACACAAAAATTCCAAAAAGGGAAATTTCTTTGACGATCTTTTAATTCCGGCCAGAATTATAAAATCACGTGACACTGGCGATGCATCGCCATAGCGATAAAAAACAAAATCCTTATTAAAATATATATTAAGAAAAAATTTTGGCAAAATTTTATGAACTGTTTAAAGAATTTTTTTTTGTTTCATTTATTTAAACAACAAATTTGATCATTAAAAATTATATTGTTCATTTTTTTATAAATAGCCTTTAAAATTTTGTGAAGAAATACTCATAAAAACGCATTTTATAAGAATTTAAAAAGTATTACTAGTAAAAATTGCCCAATAATGATGCAATCTTGATAAAATTTAATATGCAGTAAATCTAAATGAATATTAAGCTGTCTGTAAAATTTGAGTATATATTATTATGTAGAATTTTCAACCAAAGCCAATCAATTTAATTATAGTAAAGAGATAAAATTAAATAAATGATCGACAAATGATCATCAAAATTGTGATAAAATAGGAATATCCACTATGCTGTTTGTGAGTATGTTAACAGTGGCTACTAACATACTAATACTATGCTCACCAATAGAAACGTGGTTCTTTTCCACTGCCAAACAGCATTTAACAGGGTAGTTGGTAAAAGAGCCAGACAACATAAACAATACAGTAAAATAAATAAAATCAAATTTACTACCTTAAATGATCTATTCCATTTCTCCACGATTTCAGATGAACTAGATGAGTATTCTATGATAGTATTTAGTTCTTCCTTGTAATGACAGTGCTCTGTTTTTTGATCACACAAATTGCCTTCGCAATTCCACAATTCTGATTGGCTGATGTTTTTAAATAATAAATTATTTTTTAATCTTAATTTTGGCCAGAATTATAAAAATCTTAATTCTGGCTGAAGTTATGCATTACTTATATCTTCAATTAAAAGTATTTTATATTCATTTTCATGAACTCTATGACTTGAAACTAAGATGAAAAAATTAAATTATAGTGTATATTAGTTTTATTAGCATGAAAATTCAGTATAATAAATTTTCAGTATATCAAAATTTTTTCACTTTATTGAATATCCCAATAAACTGGATATTTTTAGTGGAACTGATAGATCGAATTTCACTGTGTAATTTATTATAAAAATTATTATATATTTTTATATAAATCAAATTTATGTTATATTAATTATTTTTATTTATATTATCTGTTATTATTATTATTTGAATATTTATGTTTCAAAACATTATAAGAGTTTTGATTAATATGTACCCATTTAGACTATAATGTACTATTGTTTTTGTTGTTCTATAGGCTTTTTAATGTTGAGATGATATTATGGGATATTATACTTTAGTTGGATTACTTGGATACATATTTAATCAAAAGACTATAATGTCCTGAAACATATTAATCAATAAACTATGATGTTTTAGTATATATTAATTAAGTTGGCTGACCTTCTGTACCTGTTTGGACGCTTGGTTCTATAATGAAGATGCTGGCCTTCTCGCCTATTTGGAAAAAATGCGTCAGGTGGCGCAGTAAATTTGCGGTTAATTTTGGCCGGCACTATACTATAATTCTGGCTGATCTTTTGGGCACATGATTTGAAGAATGCCATGGAAATATTATGTCCAAAGTTCTGACCTAAATTATGGAATAGTTCTGGCCGGAATTAAACGAAAATTTACTGCGCCTAACTGCATCAATCACGTGATAAAGTTCCTCGGGATGTTTGAGAGATGTTCGAGGGATATTCAAAAGACATTTGGGTGTGAAAACTAGGACGCTAGCTAGGACGGATTTTTTTATAATGATATGGCGCATCAGATTTTTATAACCTTAAATTATATAGCTAGATTTCGCCAAAGTAGGTAAAGAATATCGTCTAAGGGTGAAGCCTTCTTCCATAATTTTATATAATATTACCAAAGTTAGTTTCATACCATACCCGATCGAGTACTTCTGCCAATTTTTTATATAATGATTTCGCAGAAGCCTACACTTTCAGATACATACATGGTTGGCTTTTGGCTTTCTTTTACGATTTGCTACCCGAGTACATACCATTAGTGCTCTCAGTTTGCCTGATCCCTAAGCTGGCAATTTATAGAACACTACATACCATTCGATAGGATAGGCAAGTGCCGAGACTTGATATAATGATTCATAAATGTATATTTTTAATACTATCGTGTCACGACTGTCACGTGGGCAAAAAATTATATATATACGACTGATATGATGACTATGATGACACTGATTAATTCACTTTTTGATAAAATGGACAAACTAGAAAAAACCGATAAAATGATGTTTGATAAAGTAGTATTCGAGTTGGAGCATTTCTGACGGGTGTCCCTTCGAAGAAGAAGAAGACGTTTTAGGTAATCATAATTATTTCAGTTTAGTTAGAAGCTTTACATTGCCTCAATAAATGGGAAGTATTATTTATTATTTGGTACTGTAATTTTTATCTACACTTAGACTTTATTAAATCCAAGGCTCGTGAACGTGAAGCTCGTGAAAATGGCGCTGGCGTTACTCACTCAGGATCAACAGGTATTTTTAGTAATGTTTTATTTGATCAATAAAACCAAACTCACAGTTTTTGTTAAGGAACCTGCGGAAATAACTCTGTCACTTGTAGAGGACACGATGATGGAAGCAAAATTTACACGTCGGATAGGACCACTCTTATGCCCAGGAAGACAAGCTCGCTTGTTACTTCCACAAACGGAACCCAGACCATCGAATTTCGTGAATACAATAAACATCGTCGTGAAGCTTTTGGATCAGACAATGTTTCCGGTCCAGGCAAGGTATCTGAACGAAATGATAAGAGATTTGGGACAACTAAATCTGTTTAATCAAATCATCGGGCGAAACAGGAATATCATCATTAGAGAATTTAATGGTCAGGAGTTGCGTTTTGATCCTCCATCTAATGTTGGAGATTTAGTTCACAAGGATATTTGTATTCTATAAAATTATCAAATTCTAATCGTAAGATGGTTCAGGGCAGTGGCTTATTTTAGCGTTTGGCAGTACCATGAAACATTTTTATATAATATATTACCGAAGAAATCTTAACTGCCCTAAGTATCCAATGGTTTTGGTACGGAATCTCGAAAATCTTTTGAACGACTGACACAAGACCGACAACAAAATCTCGACAATCCAAAATTTTGACAAGTCAAAATCCTGACCCCGACAAATCAAATTATACATTTAAACTAAATATTACATATTGCAACAAAATTATTTTATTAGAACACACGTCATTAGATTTACAAAATTGTCGATATAATGACTTGTCGAGATTTTGTTGTTGATCTTGTGTTAGTCCGTGCAAGTGACTGTCGAGATTTTGATCGGATACCGTATCCAATATATTCCACATATACCTGGTACATACTAGTGATTGTGTATTCTTATATTTTTACGCACTTGCCTACCCTAAGTATTCACATTTACCCGTTGAGATGGAGATAACTTCCAATATTCGTATAATGATTCTGAAGTTAGCCCCATCTCAAAATATGTGTCATGAAATTTGACGAACGATTAATGTTACACAAAATTTATTTAATATAAAAATGATTAAAAATGATCTTCCGGTGACTAATAAGACTTTAAAAAAAATTTCGGTCGCTGTTTTTTTTAAGTAAGATTTTATTTTTAGAAATAAATAATTTAAAAGCAATTAGTTTACAGACTTACGAATTACTAAAAAAGGAGAGGGGTTTAGTTTAATTTGCCTGAACCACGGGGGTCTTAACCGTCAAGGGTCATACTAAATATTAAATTTATTTTTTTTTCGCAAATCCCATTATTAAAAGTTTCTTCGTTAGATTTAATTATGCAATTAATAATTAATCAATTAATTGATTTATTATGTTGATCAAAATGAATATGTTCAAGAAGTCAAGAATGAATAAGTTTAAGAAGCCAGAATGAATATGTTTAAGAAGTCAGAATGAATAAGTTTAAGAAGATGTATAGAATTAATGATTATTAAAAATATTAAAAAGTATTAAAATAGTTATAGCTTTTAAAAATGCACCTATAAATCACGTGCTTATAAATCACGTGCCAGTGCATGTAAATATTAAACTTTTTTAGCAAACCCACTAATATCATTGTTAAAAGTTTGACTGATTTCCCATTGTGGTGAATGCCCAACGCCAGTGTAAATTATTTTTTGCCCATTTTTCGCAAGACTTACAAACTTTTGACTATAGTTAGCTGGAACTATGGCATCTTTATCACCGATAAGAAATAATGTTGGAACATTTAAATTACTAAAAATACTGCCAAAATCAGGAACTACAATATAAAAAAACAAAAAAAAATATAAGTTTATGTTTTTATTAAGATATTAAGGTATACAACATGTTTACTTACTTGGACTTTTATTATGACGGAATTCAGGACTCGTTTGAGAAATTTGACCAAACAAAAATGAACTGAATTGATCGGACAAAGGTTTAGCAGTGAGAAAGGCAAAAGCTCCCCTAAGTGTATCAATAGCTGTTTGATAGTCATCCGATGGTTCAGTAGCATTAGTAAAAAATGGGATGTCTCCATTGAAAATTCCAGATACTGATATAAATCCAGCAACTTTCTCAGTTTTCATAGATCCAATGGAAACTAACGATCCAATAGACGCACCAACTAAAATTATTTTCTTAGATTTTACACTATCTATTACGGCGTTAAGGTCTAAAACATGTAAGTCGGTACTATACGCATTAACGTCTTTTGGTTTATCACTTCTACCGGTTCCTCGATAATCATATCTAATAAGATGAAAATTTCCATTAAGCGATGGATCATTAAATTGCACCTCCCAGCTAATACGTGATGACATTATTGGAGCGCAGAACACCATTGTGACTTTCGTTGGATCTCCTTTTTCTTCTACAAAAATCTTTACACCATTTCCACCAGTAACCATATAATTTTTGGTATCATCTGGTAAAACGGGGATAGTAACTTGAGCGATTACTGTGACAATGAAATAACTGAGGATTAAAAATTTAATCAAATTCATTTTTGTAATAATAAATTTTTTAAAAAAAAAAAATATATATTTTTTTTATTTTTTTTTTTTCAGAAAGAGTTAGCAATAATTTGCAGATATTTATAATAAAAAAAAACCATTCGAATTATGAATTACTGTATGTCATTTGCGCATCGTGCTGTCGTAATTAATTGATTTTCGTGAAATTCAATTTTGAAATTCAAATCAGATACTACCCCGTGAGTGAACTTCCAGTTAATTCATACTTAATTGATAGAAATTACCTTTAGACAATAAATTGTTTTTAAGTTCAATAATAGATCACAAATTAAAGTTTTCCGATTTCCTCCGGAACATTAGTTTTCTTTTTGATCAAATCCTTGTAAATCGCATATAGCTGATTTGATGATTTTCCTCACGGTAGTACATGTTCAATGTATCTAGAGATTTGTTTTTTCCATTTTTTGCGTATTTAAATGATAATATGTAATATTGGGATATTTAAACCACTAAAAAAAGTCGTTTATGTAAACTAAAAAGGAAAATCTAATTAATATTATATAAGATTATATAAGTATACACATGTTTATTTACGCTATTATTATTATTATTAAATGCTTTACGATCTTCAGGAGCTTTCATAACAAATTCGATTTGGTATTCGAAAAAAAGAAGAAATTTATAATTATGGTATGTTTTTAATTACAAACGATTTTTAAAGAAACGAAAGTTAATTGGGATAATAGAAACAATCTTTTGGTTAAAAATAAGATAAAATTAGGTATTACGAAAAAAATGGAGAAAGTTAATAGTTATAATAAAAATTATATTGAGAATAAGAATAATAATCTTTCTAAAGGTGCGCAAGGATTATTAAAGAACATATATTTTGGGAAAGATGTTTTGGATTTTATAATATAATCTGGTTTATTTAGGTTTTAGTTTAAATTTTAAATTTGATTTTTAATTATTGTATTTTACTATTCTTTTTTAGTTTACCCAGAAAAAAAAAAAGGAGCTGCCGGAACAACCGATTGGCTAAGCAATAAAGAAACCGAAAGATTTGAAGTTAATAGCTACTTCCTAAAATGGTTAAGAGAGTATTTTGAAAACATGTATTGTATGGTGACCAAACGTATTGATGTACGGTAGTTATTCCGGTAAGACGAATACCAGTGGTGTAGGGTCGACCACATGTGTGGTGTATGGTGATATTTAGCAGTGTGTAACAGTGTAAAAGTGTGTAAAAATACATAGTTATTTGTTTATAGAAAAAAAAAACGAACAAAAAATTTTTTTTAAAAAAAAATAAATTTCTATAAACGAAAGATTTTTTTAAAAGGTTTTTTTTATTAGACAAAAGGTTTTTCATTTAACAAAAAATGTACATTAAAAGGACGAAAAAAATTTTTATTTTTATAAACGAAAGTGTTTTATTTAAATGATTTTTAATTTACAGTAATAGATATAGAATATGGGAACATTTGACTAATGTTCCTTTTTTTTTCTTTTTAGACATCCTGACTTTGGACTTCGGCTATTGGAATTTGGAAAAAGATGCGTGTATTGAAACTTGAAATTAGTGAATGGAAAGTTAGTGAACATTAGTTAAGCATTAAATAGATACTTTCCTGAGACACCTGAATGTAAAATTTTGGCCTTTGACTTCAGAATGCAAACTTGGAAATTAGGAGTTAGGAATGTTAGTAAGACTTTTACTTTAACATTTCTTTTATTTGATACTTATCTGACATCAGGAAATTTTTTCCGTGCAAAATCCACAGGGAAATCCACATCAAATATCATGGAAATTTGCGGAAATCTGAATAGTTCCAATATTTTCCAAACACCCTGTAACGAAACATATAGTATTGGCCTACATTATTCCTTAATAAAATATGTGAATATATGGAATTCGTATGTGATGGAATGCCATACATGATTTTTATAATGTATAATTAACGAAAATGTATGTATGTATAGACAATATCACCATACATTACCAATCACCATATATTAGGGCACTGTCAGATATTACCTAATATCACTTTAATATACCTAGGTAAGATATAATTCCTTATATAGTATTGTATGTAACCTAAGATCTTTAGTTACCCCTCTAAAATATTAGGTAATACCCTTACCATACATTATTTTTAAATTTTAGACATGACGGGTATTACCATACATTAGAATACATTATCATACATAATCATACATTAGAATATGGTAGTTGGTAAACATGTGCTTAAAATTGTTGATTCACGTAAATCTTGAATTTTTGCAGTCAATTTATAATAGAATTGATAATAACATTAATAAAAATAAAGTCAGAAAAAAAAAATTTCTTTAAATGAAATTTTTATAAAACCATTCACCATCATGTTAATAATATACCTGCAACACAAAAATAAAATAAAATTTCGAATTTCTACTCGAGAATTTTTAAGATTTCACGCATATCTATGCAAACAAATAAAAAAAACTGTCAAATCAACAATACGTGCATCGCGACACATGTCAATATTTGTACCGTGTCACATGAGAAAAAATTTGTTATCACTATCACTAGCATCAACAGACCCCATGGTTGTACTGCTAATACTGCTAATTACCATACATCACTATACATTAAACTATTTTTTTTCTTTTTTCTTTTCTGAATTTGTCCTCACTATTACGGAGGCAAGATAATTCACGACTGAAATTCTTTAGTGACTCCTTGAGCCCATCTAACGACTTTACCAAGATATGATGTCGGGTTGCATCATAACACGAAACTCACTTTCTCAATGTACTGGTAAAATAATACTTTATTTATGAAATAAATCGTTGCCGGAAGCCGGCTTACAATATATAAAAATTGCAAATATATCGCTATATGATACGAAATAAAAAATACTAATTATCTTTGCTTAGTACCTCTGGCACTGTTTCAGTAGGAGGTACACGATAACATTGTTTCCCTTTTCACCGCCATAGATACGTTAGGGCCGTGTGGGAAAACGACTAAAAATTGTTCCATTCTTATTGCACCATCTACTTCGAAGTAATTCATTGTTACTTAAGTAGTGGATTACAACGCTATCAGACATGAACCCGACCTTATATAAAACCAGCCTGATTGAATCTATATCCTGAAAACGATCTAGACATTGGTTTCTGATTGCATTCACGAGAGAGGAAACTTGATTGTTATTGGCATTAGATATCGTTACATCGAAAATATCCCCCACTTTTTCACCAGGAATGAAACAATTAAGAATAATATCCCCACCAGCAAGAAACTTTTCAAGCTTGTCAGAAGTCTTGGACTTAGTCATCTCACTTTCCTAAATACAAGAGCCCATAGTGAGTATTTTGCTTCGCTCGTTGTAAATATACACCTTAATACTTTTGCGGGAAAGTTTTTGTGGGAATGTTGGCTGAACTTCTACATACCTCTACATGCTTTATATCTTGCTGAGAAAAGTTAAGGAGATATGAGGTGATGTCGTCTGATGCCAAGAGTTCTATGAAAGCACGTGCAAATGGAATTTCCATACCCTTTCACATGGAGATCTGCCTTGCAAGACGCAAAGATAGCAAGCTCTTGTAGATCTCGAAATTGCGAAGTCCTCAGCCCTTCACAACATATGCTTTCGTCGTCAATATCTACTTATAGAATAAGTCCTGTGTTGCAACAAAGCATTTTCACATTTTTTTCTCGTGTTTGTTTGGGAAAAAAAATAGAGGTAGTTAGCATATATATTTTCCTTTCGATGTCGCACAGACTGACTGTGATCGGTCTTCACATCATTGCGCAGAAATCTGTGCCACTCTGGGTCGACGCAATGGTTGATCACCAACTTCGGACAGATTATGGTACAATCCTAAAAGTTCTGTAACATCAAAATCCAAATCTATATTTAGCTTACCTAACTGATTGGTATGGTTTCTATTAATATTATAATCTTCGAAGGAGGGGCTTGTGAACCTGATATATGACCTGTTTGTTTAGCCAATCTTCGACCTCTGCAAGAGTATAGATCTTCTTATAAACATCCCGCATTTTTTCGGCAGTTCGATAATAACCTTCAGGCTGGTAATACAGCTCATAGAATATAAGATTCCGATATTTAAGATTTCCATTCTAAGTCTTCTAAACAGTTCGAGACTTACTTCTTTTTTCCATGTATCATTTATGTTATGACAATTATAAAGATCCTGTATTGAAAGATTTTTGATATTAATTCCTGCGTAAGCTGATCAAGTAAATTAGCTGTATGCATTTTATATATACTTCGAAGAATTTTATCGGAAAAAGTAAGATTAGTTAATAAATGAATTGTGATTGACATTGCTTCAGACTGATGAAAACTTGTTCTAATGTTTCAACCTTTCTATCAACTCATCCAAAGGAAGATTCACCTCCCATAATTGACTTCTTGATTTGTAGGTGAAATTCCGCAAAATAATTTTTTTCTAAGATCCCGTCCGGAAAGCTTCTAAGCCTTTCTAATTTTTCATAAAATTCCCTTACCGATTCACTACCTAGTTTCAGCTCCCCCATTTTATATTTTTGATCTCTAACTAAATATTTGACTATCTCTTTTAAAGGTTTTTTAATCCCAAACTCTTCTGCACGCTTTTTATTATCGGGTGATAATCCACGGATGAATTTATTTTAACGTCTACATCATCCAAATCCTTACTAACGAAAATAACATATAATTTTATTAACTCAACATATTTACTAATAGAAATATTGCCTTGTTTGGGAGCTAATATTTTTTATCCTTTCAGGTTCTAAGACCGGAGAGCTTGGTTGAGATGCAAAATCTCTATAATCTGTTCGATCTACGCGATTAAATGCATCTCTCATTATTGTCTATATAATGCGATATATCTTTAATGACGTACAGTATATACATTGTGGCCCAGCAAAAAAATCTGATCACTCCGGAGCCCGGACTATGGGTTGGACTGGGAAAAATAAGTTACAGCTCGGATTTGACTATCAGATAATGTCGAAATATAATTTTCTTCGAATGGGATCGCAAAATTATCGTCTATTGTTAGCAATAAATTACACAGGGGGTAAATAAGATAAGAAATTTTGAAAATACCTCTAAAATATGTAATTCTAGCTGAAATTAATATATAAACTTCACATAAACTCTAATGTAAGTTATATAAGAGATATTTGGAGTCCTATTCAAACAGTTACAGAGTTCCAATCTGAGGATCGATGGATGAGAATATTTTGGCAATTTGCATGTAGATTTAATCAATAAAGGTAAGGATTTTTTTCCAGATACATTAAGACCATATCTCAATACACAATATAGTAAATTTAAGAGTATCGTTAATAATAAAAAAAAAGAGAAATTCGATTCAGATTGAATTTTTCATTCGATCGGATAGATTTTCGATCTGAGTTGAATTTCTTCTCCATTTTATAATTGAAACAGATTTTAATTTATCATATTGCGCATTGAAGTAGAATCCAAAGATATCTCAAAAAAAATCTTGACTTTAATTAATTAAATCTATGTATAAATGTATAATCGTCAAAATGTCATGTCCATCCGTCGATCCTTAAATTAGAACTCTACTATAGTTTATTAATTAGGCCGTTCCAAATTAATAATTAGTTTAACGTCCTTTCCGGCCAAAAATTTTGAGGGGGGGGGGGAGGGGATAATTTAAACAAACATGAAAATTAAACATATTAAAAATTTCGGAAATTTTCGGTAAAATCGGAAATTCTCGGTACTATTAAATTTTAGTAAAGGAGGGGGTGTTTTAAGCATATTTAAACATATCAAACATATATGTTTAAATCACTCTTGAATTTTTCAAAAATAGAGGGGGGGGGAGGACGTTAAACTAAAGATTAAATTGGAACGGCCTTAATATGTATTAAAACTCTATAATCTATTGATTAATATATTCCAGAACATTATAATCTTTTGAGTAATATATTCCAGAACATTATAATCTTTTGTTGTTATGCAGCCAAATAGGATCATGTTGTTTTTAACATACTGATATTTTTTAGCGTAAATATCTTTGATATTTTTGACGCATTACGTCATATAGATTATTATCACACATTTACTATGCTTTTCATATGGAACATGATCTTGGACGTTCTTTCTGCATAATAACTATTATATATACATTCCAAACTTTTGATTAATATATATCTTACTAAAGTATAATATCCCATAATAAAAACAATAGTACATTATAGTCTAATGGGTACATATTAATCAAAAAGTCTTAAAACATTATAATTTTAAGTGGAATAAATTAATATATTAATATGTTTCACTAATTTATTTTAAAATACAATAAAAAAATAATTAATAAATTTTATATCTATTGTATATTATATCTGTATTTGTTTTATATATTTTATTTCTTTTAATTATATTATATTTTTTAATATTTTATAATTTATAATTTAATAAAAAAATTTTATATATAAAATTATAGCATTTAATTAGTTAACTTTAAAGGATACCTATTATATATGTATAAATAAATTACAATTAAAAATAAGTTTTTTTTAGAAAATTTTTTATAAAATTAATTTAAAATAAAAAATAAATTTATTTTTTAAAAAATTATACAATATATGTATTTTCTATTTTATAAGTTTATTATAATTATTAAATTTAGTTTTTTTTTATTAAAAAATTAAATTACATTTAAATAATTTTAATTAAAATTAAATAATTGGCATAAAATATTTTTTTTTAAAATAAAAATGAAATTTAAGTATTACTTATAAATAGAAGTTGGATTTAAATTTACCTTTAATTTTATATTTATATTTATTATTTAATTAAATAATAAAAAACAGATTTTAAAGTAAAATTTAAACTATTAAAATTTTAATAACATATTGTATATTAGATAAAAATAAAAAGAAAAAAAAAAGAAATTTGTAAATTAAATAAATAAAAAATATTAATATTAATTAGCTATAAAAAAATTGTATAGGTTCTATGATTATTTAACAAAGAAAATAAAATCAGCCAATTAAGATAACTTATTATAAATAAAGTCTACCTATAAAGTCAAATAATCACTTAATAGTGTACATGTAAAATATTTATATATAATAATAATTTAAGTGGTTATAGAAATTAATAAAATTGTAAATAGTATTTATTTTACTGTAATTATAAAAAGTTTTAATTTAAACAATAAAATTATATTTTGTAATTACTGTATATGATAAATTTTATTTTTAGAAAATATCAAGTTATCGGTCTGATTTTAAATTTTATAAGATTAATATTAAATTAAATAATTAATTATATACATATTAACAATTATTTTATATGTATATGTAAATTTATAAGAAGAAAAGGTTATTTTTCAGATAATTTTTTAAAAAAGAGTTTTGCTAACTCTTCCTAAGTTAAATAACTTGGATTAAATTACTTCCCTGAAAATATATATTTATATGAATTTTTTTGCCAATTATTTTTTTTAAAAAAATTTAAAAAATTATTTGCATTATTTATTCATTTCATTTTATTTATTTGGACATTTTTTGTACAATGTCTTTTACATTTAAATTTGGGCAAAATTATATAATTATATAAAATTTACTAGTAGGTTCTTAATTAATTAGTAAATTTTAAAATATCATTCTAAAACTATAAAAATTAAGTTTAAGATGGCATTAATAAAGTATTTTTATATTTTAAATAAATAAATAAATAACTTTATTCTTATTACGTTAATCTTATATTAATTGCAAAAATATCTTTTGAAAAACTTAATATTATTTCTGTTCCATTCTAATAAGATTCTTCAGTTTATTATTTGCCAGTATTAGAAACTTGGGCAGAAATCATGATATTTAAAAGAAAAAGAGCCAACTATATTACAAGGAATTAATAATGCAAGGTGTCCGATAAAATACTAAGCTTCTTAGTTATTTTTATTAATGACGGTATGCATGCAGTATTAATAAAAAAGGAAATACTTAATATCTTGTGATTGTGTAACATTTAAAATATAAAAATAGGTTTGTTATAATCTTAAGATATCTATTTTTAATTACTACGAATTAAAATTATACACGTGATATTAAGAAGTCGAGATCTTTTTTGATTAAACATGATTTATATATTATCTATTATACAAAAAAAAAAAGAATGAAATTAAGCAAATGAAAAAATTTTTTACCTATTACTTCATCAGTCAATATACTGAAATTCTGGGATTATATTTCCGTTAATAAATTAGTCACCGATTAAATATTCCTTTGTTTGACGCAGAACCAACGAAATGAAATGGAAATATAACTTCTTCCTCAAAATTAGTAAACTATAGCTAAGTATGTTGCATACTAGCTTTGAATATAAACTTATTAACCATGGGATTATAAAAATGTTTGACAAAATCTTGCAATCTAAAGAATTACTTTTGATTTGAATTAATAACTCACTAGGATAAACGAATCAAAAATCACGATGATTTTTTCGTAGTTTCGGAAAATGAGTTCGAAGATTATTCAACTGCCTTCTTGAATAAACGTGGAAAGCTGCCATTTAGCGTACACCTGAATAGTAAGTGTTCGCACGAAACGAGATTGGGATGATTGCCTTCCAGGAAGAAAAATTTCGATCCTATTCATCATGTTCATCATGTTGGATGTACCTTGTTATTTCTTTGTCCTCTTGACATTGTGCTATGTAAATATTCCCGCACTAATGTCGCTTGCTTCACAATTCTTTCAAGTGCCGACTCGCTCGCATGACAATCAAAGGCTAAATGAGGGAAAAAATGATATTAATTGCCGAAAATATCATCAGTTCATTAAATTAATTAACAATGAACATAATTCATTAGGCAAACTTACAGAGAATGGCACTGTTAATTTCATCTGCCAACCTATCTCGATGTTCTTGAGCCAATAGAGACCCTACTGGTGAGTTTTCTGGATCTTCATATGCCATTAAAGCGCTCATAATTTTAAGTTCTGCATTAAACTTTTCTTCATTAGCCCCTTTCTTTTTAGGGAAACTTGTTAATACTGTTTGGGCAAATAACAATGCTTCAATTGGATTGCCAGCACGAACAGTTTCAATGAATTGTTGACAATGAAGTTTGAAACACATATCAATTGAACGTGCAGTAGTTCGATTGTCTTGTTCATCCGAAGACACAACGTGAGGAAACTTATCTCGACATAATGATAAGGCTTCAGTGATGCTGCCAGCTATTATGTAATGGCGGATTTCTCCGTACAAAAAAATGAAAAAAAAAAGTCAAATAACCTAGGTTGCCAGCTCTTAGATCACAATATGTAAAATGATATGCGCGAAGCTTAAATTATACTCTTACTTTTTCTTGTTTCTAAACTTTTAAGTGCAAATTCGGCATTAAAGCGCTCTCCATATCCGTTACTACGTTTACCCTTCTTCAGTACTTCGAGAAGCATTTGAGAATTAGCTTCTTTACATATTAATTCACTGGTGGAATCAATATGCATACATTCCTCTTGAATTGAATCAGCCATTTCGCAATCCCCGTCTTCGTCTACTTCAATAATATCCATGGGTACAGGTGAACTGTTACCATTCTGCACGACACCATTGGTAGTACCATTGGTTGAACCGTTTTGAGTAGAACCATTTAAACCATGTTCCATGCTAGGTTCACCTACATTCAAAGCATCTTTAAAAAATACTTTGGCAGTTTCACCATAACAATTATGTATAAGGTAATCTAATACCAACTGACGAACAACCGTGTCGTCAGGTTCTTCATTGTTTTGGTAAACTTCTGGACAAGGTTCCATTATAATTGACCTATTAAAACTTTTAATTTGAAAAACTAAATCTTAAAGAAAATACAATTGGTGTGAACTTTAATGCGGATTAACTGATTTCGCTCGATTCGCATTATTATATTTTGTGATAGGAAAAGACCACGTGTGATTATGAAATGTGTGAAAATACAAGAAAAATATGAAAAGGAGCATGTAATACCAAAAAATATATTGCATAATCACGTGTTTATAGATTTTTAAGCAACTTCTCCAATTTTTTTTTTACTTCTTGAAGATGTCTGCTCAAGATCAGATTTCAACAAACACGAAGCCCGAAAAACAAACTGGTGCAATTTATACTATTAGTTTAACCCCTGAACAGGTTAAGCGTATAGAAGAGAATCGACTTAAAGCTCAAGCGAAATTAAGGGAAAAACAGAAACGAGATCAGCAAAATAATTTAACTAGCACTGAACAAAAAGGAATTATTTCAAATAATGGAAATATTAATGAAACAAAAGGGTTACGTCCTATGAAAAAGTTCCAAAATTATGTGGAATATGATTTCTCAAAAATGAAAGATACTCGTGGAGGTTTTCTATCAGAACAACAAGATGAAACCCCTAAAAAGAGAAAATGGGAACCTCCTGAACCCGAATTTGAAGCTTTAGAACCATGTAAAATAATTTATTTAGGACGATATATAATTTTTAATAATATTAATTAACAATATATATTTCTTTTATAGCCATGAGTATTGATCCAGCTGAAAATCAAAAATGCAAAGAATGTAATTCAGTAGAATTAGATAACCTGTTTCGTAAGACTTTCAAAGTCAATGTATGTAAGAATTGTAAGGAAAAATATCCTGAAAAATATAGTTTAATAACCAAGTCCGAGGCGAAGGAGGTAACTCTTTCCGTAAAGATTACACTCTTTAACAAAATATCATGAATCGACTTACTAATTTTACCAAGAATTTAGGATTATTTATTAACAGATCGTATGGTTTATTTGAATTGATTTTTAGAACTATATATATATTTTTTTTCTAAATGAAAATATTTAATTTATTTTGTTTCTAATTTTAGCTGAATTGAGAGATGTAGAGATTTTACCACATTTGTCTAAACCAAATCCACATAAAGCAACCTGGAATAATATGATGTTGTACCTTAGAGAACAGGTTGAAGAATTCGCATTCAAAAAATGGGGAGGCGAAGAAGGGTTAGACGAAGAATATGAAAGGAGGGTAAGTCTCAAAAAGAAGAAAAAGGACAAGAAATTCAAATCAAAACTTGCAGGTATATAAAATTTAATATGTAACATTTTGATTCAGTAATAAATAAATTAATAATAAATTTATTTTCTTTAGACCTTCGAAAACGTACTAGGACTGACGTTTTAACTGTACAAAAGAATCACAAACATGAATTTGGAGAGACTGAAGAAGATCCAGAAACTGGAGTAACAACTCAAAGCTGCGAAATTTGTGGAATGCAAATTGAAGTTGATATTCTTTAAAGACAAATGAAATAGTTGTGCAAGTTAATTTTCACCTTATTTTAAATCAAACTCGTAGTAATGTAATATATATAATAATCATTTGGCTTAAAAAGGAACCAATTAACGGTAACAGAAACTCGTGGAATAAATAGAATATTAATCTTCATCTGAAATTTCATCATCATCACTTAAGGCAGCAATTGCAGGATTTTTAATTATTTTTTGTGTAGAAGAATCTTTGTCCACAGTCTTTTTATTAGATCCCTCAATAGCACCAACAGAAATTAGATAATTTTCAAGAACTTTAATATCAAAATAATGTTAACTTAATTAATATCAACAAGAAATTTAGATTGAAAGGAAATAAAAAATACCTTGAAGTGTCATATTCATTCCGCCTAATTGAGATAGGCCTACAAGCTGTTGTTGAAGATCACTATTACCATAAATTAACAGAGTGGGTAAATTTTTATCTGGGTAGTTTGGTATACAGTGATCTCCAACTATTTTTACAAATTTTGTTGCTTTATATTTTTCTGCGAGTGTTGATAAATGTGCGTTCATTAATTTACATTCTGGGATCCTATAAAAATATATACATTTGTTACACTACTATTAATACATAAATTACATTTAACACATGTTTATACACACGGATCTTTGAATAAATGCACAATCACCCAGACTTCTTGACTTGCTTCTGTTACTTCTTTTATAAAATCAGGCTTTGATATTTGAATTAATTGTCCATATTTTTCTCGTGACGCTTCGGCTTTTATCTCAGCCATTCTTTTCTGTCTACAAATAGTAAATAAATTAATAACACTTATTTTTAAAGAAGAAAAAAAAATAGTTTCTTACCGGTACTCTTCTAATATTCGATCATCTTCTTCATCCTCTAACTCATCTAGTTCATCTAATGTTTTATCTTCTAAATGCTTTTCTTGTTTTTCACGAATATTTTTATCCATTTCTTCAAATATTTCTTCTTCTGTGGGACCTTCTTTTGGAGGAAGGATACCACGAGCTCGAAGAATATCGTTCCTAAGATAACAAATGTCATATGTTTTATTCATTGCCGCATATAACAAATCCTACAAAAAAAGTTTTACCATTCTGTATCTGCGTTTGGATCTTCCATGGTTTATAGAAGCAAAGAAAATTTACTTGTTAAATTTGTTAAATTTTGATTAAATTTTGATTAAATTTATATCAATTTTGACGCGGTGATCATTATCCGTTTCCAGTATGATGAAATTTTATTATGTAATATTCCAAGGATTTTTTTGCCGATCAATTTGGCCAGCCAATGGTCTTGGCCACAGCTTGTCCTCTAGACGGTCATATAATGAAAAAGTGACGCCTATTGTGAAACGTTCCCTTTTGTTATAAAAAGGAACAAAAAGAACGAATAGGGTTTAGTACATAAAAATATTTCTAACTAGATACTTCCAAGAATTCTTGAATTTTTTTTTTTTTTAAAAAAAAAAAAATGAATAAAAATAATATTGATACACAAATTGAAGGAGGTTTAATACTGATTAAAAATCTCCAATGGTATTTATTTATTTTATTTCCGTTTTCTTTTTGGTTTCATTGTTAATAATATTACACAATTCATAAAAACAATTTAGTATTATCATAAGCGAAAAAGTGGAAAGGTCATTAGCGAATAGGTTAATGTCAAGATTTTTATTGAAAGATTCTGAAAAGATACTTTTAGAAATTGAATTTAATGGCATGAATAAACAAACGATTCCATCTTTAGCGTAAGTTAATCAAATTGCAATACCTCTTAAATTGATTAACTTAAAAAAAAAAAAATTAATATAAAAAAATTATTTTGTTATGTAGGACATCATCATCAGATAATACAACAAAGAAAGTTGCATGGGATGAACATATTCACTTTAAGATCGATGCGCCCTTAAATCCGTCTAGAAGTAACGAATTAACCATTAGATGTTGGAATACATCTATTAAAGGTTATGACGGATGTTTAGGACAAATAAGTGAGGCTTTAATAAATTTTGATAAATCTGGTGAACCAAGAAGTAAGTATTGTAATACGATAATATGAATTCTTTAGTCAAACAAAAATTAATAATTAAAATATATTCCATTTTAAGTTACCTTGACACTTCGAGAGGGAAATCCCAATATAAAAATATCGTTTTCTTTATATTTCTTATCAAACGTAAGTTAACACATCAATTATTACAAATTATAATTAATTAATTAATTAATTATATTTTTATATTTTCTTGATAAGGTTCCACCACCAGAGATGAAACTTTTCGACGATGACTCAATTCGCGACAAAAAAATCGGGATGATATTAATTAATAATATAAAATAGTAATATATTATGATTTAATTTTTATTGTATTTTTTTTTTTTTTTTTTAAAAAAAAAATAACATTATTTTAATATTTATAATATTAATAGTAAAAATATACTTGGTCACAGCGGAACATTAGAGTTCATATTACAAAAAGCATTAAATACTTCAGGACACTGGCATACAATTCCAATAGTTCATAATTCTTCACATCAGAAACAATTAGAATGGAAATATCCTATTGCAATGTTCTTGAAAGCAGGACCTGATAAATTGATCATTCGTTTTAAACACGGAATTAGAGGACATGCTGAAGTCAAAATTGGTATTGGACCTACCGGTGAATTGATGTCAATTTGGTCAGATTTATCTGAAGGTGGACATGGAAATGGTAAAAAAGGTATGATGGTTTTTTTTTATATTAAGTTTATTTTTTGTCAAAACAAGAAAATAATATTTAATAAAATTTTTTAGTTGGAGATTATACTTTGATGGAGAAGGAGAGGGGATGTGAAGAAATAGAGATTACTTTTGATTTATCATGTCATTCCATAGTTACATCAAGAGATATCTTTAAAGAAAAGAGAAAATCAAGTAAACCACCACCACCGCCGCCACCTCCAAGGCGTGTTCTATCTTATAGAAGTATTAATCGCCCACAAGAACCTATAGCTTCATCATCATTAAATGATCATCGACCACAAGAATATCAAAATTTCGAGCAAAATGAACGCCAAAGAAAGCCTTCTTTGCAAGAGAATATAATTGTTCCTGAAAATCATAGATTATCTAATCTATTACTGACTAAAAGTTTTGATCCAAATGATCGTAGATCTGAATCTTTAAAATCTCAATCAGATTCATTGAATTCCAGTAAAATGTCTGAATCTTCAAAGCAAAAAACCGGTCAACAAATAATAAACAATAATTTAAATTTCGGAGAACCATATTATAATGGTAATAATGGAAATGGAGCGTCTTACGTTATCACCGAAGAACCTCGTACATATTTTGAAGAAGAAAATTCACAAGTAGAGCGAGATCCATCAATAACTTCACGAACCTCTTCTTCAAGATCACAACAAAATCAATCCTTTCATAAAAAATCTAAGCCATTAGACATTATTAATAAGGGTAAAAACAAGTTTACATCAAGAAATACAGATCAACACGTCAAAATTGGTTATTCTCCACCTTCATTACAAGATTATCAAATCGGATCTTTTATTTACGAGGATAGTGATGGAAAGTTACAAAGCAACTTATATCAAAGTACTAAACAAAACATTCTCCCAAATACACCACAAGATAATGAACCATCACCAATACCCCAAACTGATACAATTTATCCTAACACACGCACGATTAACAACGACAATTCAAATTCATTACCAAAATATATATATAATAAATATCAATTAATTTCTCAAATACCAAAGTCAAAGCAGAATAAAGTATATCTGGGTCAACATATACTTACCTCAGATAAGGTGGTAGTTAAATTTTATAAATCTCGTTCAAGATGGGAAAATGAAACCCATTTTTTGAAAGCTCTTACGTCGAAATCAACCGTAAAGTTGGAGGAAATAACTGTGAATCCGGCCGAAGAACAAAATTATTTCATAATCACGAGGTATTTCGGAAAATCTTTAGATGAAATCGTAGAGAATATTCGTGATAATAAAACACATATAAAAAGTGTACTTTTGGGTACTTGTAAAGCTGTAGAGTGGTGTCATAGTAAAGGTGTAGTGGTAAGTTAAATTCAAATTTAAATTATTTAATTATTCTCATTATTCTCAATTTTTCTAATTTAATTATTTTTAAAATATAGCACATGGATTTAAATCCTTCTAATATTATATGCAAGGATCAAAAGATTCACAAAATAGTGTTATGTGACTTTGAGCATTCAAAAAATGCTGGTGATAATATTTGCTCGGACAAATATAATCAGCCATTACAATTAGGGTTTACATCACCAGAACTACTCTTTCTTCATCAAGTCGTATCATCATCAGCGTCACAATCATCATACTCACCTTCTTCATACTCCTCTACTACTTCTTCCACGTATTATACTAGTAAATCTCACCCAGAAACTTTATTAGTAAAACAAAGTATAGATATCTTTAGTCTGGGTTGTATATTTTATTTTTTGAATAAAACCCATTTATTGTATAATTCCCAAAAAGAATTAGAACAATTAAACCTAACTAAAGTTTGCGAAGATATTGAAGATGAGCAGGTCTCTATTTTAGTTAAGTGTATGGTAGCTGAAAACGGTAGTAAAAGACCCAATATTACACAAATATTAGAAAATCCATACCTTAAGAATTAATGTATTTTTTGTACTGTACATTTATTTATTTATTTATTTTTTATAAATAGAGTTAACAATTTTTATAAATATAAATAATTCATAGAATAATTATCAGTTATTCAAAAGTAATTATCTAATTCAGAAAAATTTAACGTGTTAAGTTGTTGATTGGAGTTTAATTTGAATTTTGATATCGTAAAAAATCAGATAATAATCACAAGTGTGATATATAGGGGGGTGACAAATGAGAGATCGTCTATTTTCAAGTGGATACGACGCAACTTACTAAATTTTTCGTCGCAAACAGAGTCTTTATATAATTCAAGGCCAATTCGTTCAGAAAATAAATAAGAGATACTAAAATGCTTCAATTCACGAATTAAAGAATCTATTTGTCGGTATAATATCACCGGATTTAATATTATTAACATGTCTTTTAATATTTCGCGCGTAATTTCTATTTCTAGGATAATATTTGATATATGATATCATAAAATTGTAACAATACAATAATGTTCTTAATATATAATGATCTGTACAATATGTTATTTAATAAATATAATGTTCTAATCAACAATGTTCTGTACAATATGCTAATATGCTAATGATATACTAATTAATTCTTAAATGTCTAAATGTTATAATTCTTTTCTTTTTCCTTCCTTTAACTTCAAGAAATGAACCATCTCTTCTAGAAAATAAATAAATAGCAACGCTAAAATATTCCTTTTTTTTAATCTTATTAAATATATTTTGAACATAATCCATATCATCTTTTATATTTCTCATTTTAGATTTTATCTCATTTAATTTATTTAATTGTTCTTTATTATTCTCAAATTTTATTTTAAAAATTTCTTTTTCTATAACTTGTAATATATTCTTTTTAATATCTTTCACTTTAATTTCTATATCATTTAATTCTACTTCAACATTATTTTCATTTATTTTATCATCAACATCATCAATTATTATATCATCTATTGTTGTACCAAAATTTTCATTTATCTCTTCTTTTAAATCACTTATTCTAATTATCATTCCATTTATTACATTTCTCACAAAATTTGTCTTTTCAATTATATTTTCTTTTGTACCTATAGAATTCCAGTTAGATTTCCATCTTTTTAAAATTTCAAATATTCCAACATTCTTCCCTTCAGAAGTTTCATCTCCAGCCAAATCATCATCTTCAGGTTCAAAATTCATTGCTAAACGAGCCAAACTATATGTTACGCAAAATAGAATAAGTTTTGTAATATAAGGTCCAATAGTATTTATGAAAGCGTAAAATAAACAAATATAAAATAAGTTGAAAAGGTAAAGACTTAATAATACCCATCTAAATGATTTAAGAAATTTTTCATAATATAAAAGATTTAACGACATAATTATTCCAAAAATTGTTAATATGAAATAAAGGGCGTTAATTAAATACCAATAATCTAAACATTTATATTTGAATAAACAAAATATCTTTGCGGTTACTTGCCAATAATATATTATAATCGCACCAATTAAAATGAAAGTATATTCTAATTTGACATTTTTAAATGATGCTTGCTTAATTATTATAGCTCGATATGAAAAACAAATACCATAATATATAATAGCAGCTATTAGAGAGCTGTTAATATCATCTTTCATGATACATTTATTATGTTTAGGATTTATCTTTAATGAGATGGAAGGAATTACGAAATTTGTGAATAATGCTAATAAATCATCCGTTATTCCAATTATAATTTGAAATTGTCTATAATCTTTAAATTTATAATAAAGTAATAATGCTGCAGCTGGAATAGAGGTGGCAAATAAAAAATCAAATATATCTTCTGTTGGTGAATAATTATCCTCTTTTACATCATTTATTGGAAACGCATTGATATTGTGTGAAAATGTGAAAAATGTAATGAAGATAATTGATATAATAACAAGATTGAATTTTTGTTGAAGTGACATAATTATGTATTGTATGAGTTTGAAAATTGGATTCCTACTTATTCTACTTGTCCGATGGTCCTTTATATATATAAAAACGGAGCGTAGTTTTTGTACAATAAAAAGGTAATTGATGAATTTTTTCAAATGGATTCTAAATTCGGGAAGATTTATTTTCTTAAAAACTAAATTTTTTTTGTAATACATTTGAAAGTTTCTAGATAAATCTTTTTCCTTTCAATATGATCAAAATAGTAATGATTTATCCGTTTTTACCCGTTTTATTCACAAATGCCGGAGTTTGAAGAGCAGAACACTAATTAAAAATTTTTGCTGCAGAGTTAATTTCTGGATAGAATAGAATTCTTTATTATCCGCAGTAACCTATGGATATTATTTTTTAAAGTTTAAATGAATTAGTCATAGGAAGTCTTTCATAGAAGTTTTTTGTGATCCAAAAGAAGATAAATCAGCCACAAATTTTACGATTTCTTGTGTGATGACGCCATGTTAATTCTTTTTTTTTTAAAGTTCTTTAAGGTGATGATATCATTGGTTTATGAATAAGAAGACTTTGAAACATAATAGCGTTAAATTTATTTAGTAATATAACCAAAAATTTAGTGTGGTACAAACGTTAATTTTGGCTGGAATTAAGAAATCTTTGATCAATACTAACTAAAGTTATTTTACTGCGGATGCATTAACAGTTAAGCTGTGTATTAAAATATGAAATATATACTCGTATATATGTTTATATATATATTTTTTTTTTATACTACATACCAAATTAAATGAATTGACTTAACGAGGCCAATTTAATTAATTTATTAACTAAACGTTCTTGATATTTAAAATTCAAGTTGTTGAATTTTTTGTTTATTTAATCTGCAAATTGACATATTTAATACAGAATGGTTTTTAAGAAGCAATTTTAGATGTATGATTTAAAGTTATGGAATTTTTTTAAATAAAACTTGACATTAGATTACAATATATTCTATTCATTCCATTAATTAGTTTATACAGTATATATATTTTTTTGGATACTAATATTCTTATTTTTGATTAAACTAAAATATTACATTGATGAAATTATAATAATTATTATTGGTGAAATATCACATTGCTGATAGTATGAAACAGTATCTACTGATTTTATGAGATGATTAGCTTCGAAATATGATGATTTCTTATGTACGTCATGATTTTAAAAAAAGGTATTTTTTATTGCATGTATGTAAATCCCTGATTCTTGGCAATAGATTTTCATACTCTATGGTTAAAAATATATGACGAAAATGTACCTTTATTGATGATCTTTGAATATAAATACTGTACGTTATCTTATCTTAAATTTTTATTCATATATCCACATTAATAGATAACATTTATTTAAGAAAATTTTAACGAATTCGCGAATTTATGAATTTGACGAATTTAACAAATTGATAAATTTAAAAAATTTAACGAATTTAATAATCATGTCATTAATGAAATTTTTATCTGGTTTATCTGGTACTTCATTCATTGCTATTGTCGCGACAAACGCTTTAAGCGCCGCTTATCATCCACGATATGAACAAACTCAACATTCATCTAAAACGTAAGTTTACTTTTTTTTTTTTTTTATAAAAAAAATTTATTTCTCAGTACGTAAAGAACTTATTAAATTATAAATCATTCTTTTCGTTTTTGTAGAGATAAGCGAAGTTCTCATCATTCTCATAATAATAACCCTCATTTTCAATTTCATCATCAACATGAACCAAAATATTTTTCGAAAAATGATTACAGTCATAAAAATCACAAAATTTAATGAAAATGTTCAAGCATATATTCTAGCATATATTTTAGCATATATTTTAGCATCTTATATTTATAATAATGTCAGCATTTTATAATAAATATAATTGAATAATAATATTAACCTTCAATGAACGAAATAAGAGCTATTAGGCTAATTATGATTGAAATGATTAAGACGAAAAGGGGATTGAACTTCATGATAATTATATAAAATGATACAGTATATTTGATGAGTCCGATAAGTAAATGTTATATTTCTAATTATTTTTGGATTTCAATCAAGATTTATTCTTGAGGATGTTTATTAAAATTCGAGGCTCATCCTCAAACGATTAAGAAAATCCTTCAAACTTTATTAGGCCATTCTTTTTTATTACCTCGTGAAATCTAATTAAGAACACACTTATTACTCATGCCGAAAAATCAATTTTAAAGAAATCTTTCATTTAAGTCTAGTGAAACGATCCGGATCATCCACGAATACAAACGGATATCTGTCAACCGAAGAAAACGATAGATCGAATAAATAATTCGTGGATATATTTTGCGAAATGACATGAAATTCGCATATTATCCGCATATCCGCGGACTAAAAAAATTTTTTATGATTGTTTTTTTAATTTAACAAATCAAAAAAAAAAAACCTCGAAATTTGATAGAAAGTAAAGAAAAAAAGAATTGTGCAATTTTTTTTTGTGAATATTTATTTCGAAGTTGTAAATTTCGGTTTTAGTTTTTAGATTTCTTAAACATTTTAAAGTACTATGGTAAAATAAATCCTAAAAAAAATGCAAATCTATCACAATAAATTATATATCCATATCACTACTATTTATGAAAAAGAAGGAAACCGCCGTTAATTTATTTAATTTCGATTTATTACAACGAATATTCATGAATGCAAATTATCCGTGCGGATTGTTTTACGGATTGCATAAATTATTACTTTACTATTTATTTACAAATTAGAAAATACAATTTTACGATTTGTTTATAAATTTGATACGATTTCGATAGTACATTTTTACGATTTGTTGCAATTTTGGTAACTAATTTTGCACGACTCGATCAAGTCAGGTGGCGATCGCCTTAATATTCAGTAACTTTTTATACTAGGCGACTAAATCGTGATTGTATGAAACTAAATCGTGAACAAATCTTTATTTATGATAAATTTTCATCATGGTCACTATTTGGTTTCGATTTTAAAAGTTCTGCACCACATTCGATCCATAATTCCAGTCATTTTATTTTTTAATTGGTACTGTACGACTGTACGCTGATCACCGCTGCGCCACTAACCTGACACTAAAAGAATATTGTTTTCTCCCAATATTATATTCGTCAATACCTATTATTAAAATATATGAATGTAGACTTTAATATTGTTGTCTGTTGATCTTGCTGCTACTTCATTTATTACTATTATCGTGACAAGCGCTTCATTTATCGTCCACGATAAGAACAATCTTGTTTTTCTCTAGAACGTGAAAAAATAAATAAATTTATTTTGCAGTACGTACGAACTTAAATTATAAATCATCCTTTTGTTTGTGAGGAGATACGTTGTTCTCATATAAGTAGTGCTTCGGTCCGTGTACGGATTGATCTGGATTAAACTGAAAAACCAGATGAAAATTCTGCAGTTTGAAATCAGAATTTATCCAGATTCGGATAATTCATTCCAAACAAATGATCAGATTTTAATAATTAATGTCTTGTTTAAGATAAGTATTTGAAGTTGCATATATAAAGGTAGGAAATAATTTTTTTTTTATCCAGATTTCACCCAGATCGAACTAAGTTCATACATTATCAACATGAACCAAAATATTTTTAAATATGGTCATAATCATAAGAAAAATCATGTCTAATAGTGAAAATGAATTAGGGATTTTTCCTAAATCCAAAAATTTTCAATAATTCTAAGCATATAATGTAACATACTATTATATGCTGTAATTTTATTTATAATGTGAAGATAGTTGTTACAAAAATTAATTTCGAGACATTATTGCTACAGGTTCTTTTCAAATATTGCTAAATATAGTTTGCGTTATTAAAATTACGTAAAGAAAAAGTGAATTTTATTTTTGTCCCAAATAAACGTTCCTATAAACTTTCACATGAAATAATCCTTGAAAATTAGTTTCAGGACTAGGTCAGGACTGTTAACCCATCTTTAAGATTTTTTTTTTTTTGTCAGTCGACAGTTTAACATTTTATATTATATATTCAAAAAATAAAAAAAGTAAATATTGAAAAATGAATATAATAAATACAAAAAATTTTTTTATATTTCATAATTCATGATAAAAATATTATTAATTAATTATAGTATGAATTTCATATTATTAGTAATAAAAACCTAATTATAATATGATTTAAGATGACATTTATAACTGATAACAACTTTTTAACGGTATACACGAAAATTTCAAATTATTATTTTATTGACTACCACAAGGATATACTTTCCAACTATTAAGGTGACCATGATAGTGCCAACAGATATCCTGAGTATTATCAAATGGTCCGCGCCATTTATCTACTTTAAGGGAGTGTGCAACACCAAAAACAAGGTTAAAAGTTTTTACATCATCAGGTATAGTCAATTCACCCCATTCATAATTACCATCACTCATATAATCGAGGGCAGCAACCATTGCCCTTGTACCTTTGTCCAATTTGTTTTCAATCTTGACTATTTTGCCTATATATACATACATACAATAAATTAGTACATCTAATCAAGACATAAAGAATTATTTTATGATTATTCAAAAATTTACCTTCAGTGAGCGAAATAAAAGCTATTAGACTAATTATGATTGAAATGGTTAAGACGTAAACGGGGTTGGGCTTCATGATAATTATATAAAAATGATACAGTATATTTTGATGAGTCTGATAAAAGTCTTTACTTCTTCCTAGTAAATGGTTATATTTCTAATTATTTTGGAATTTCACTCAAGATTTATTCTTGAGGGGTATTTATTAAAAATTTGCGGCTTATCCTCAAACGTATCTACCGTATCTTAATGAAAGCTTTACTAATAGATTAAACAAAAAATATCCTTTAAACTTTATTAGGCAGCCATTCTTTTTTATTACCCTCGTGAAATTTTATTAAGAACACACTTATTACTCCATGCTAAAAAATCAATAAAAGAAATCTTTTCATTTAATTAGTGAAATGATCCGGATCATCCGCGAATACAAACGGATATCTGTCAGCTGAAGAAAATGATAGATCGAATAAATAATTCGTGGATATTTGGATATTTGTTGCGAATGATCTGCAAATCACGAGTAGCATGAAATTCGCGGACTAAAAAAATTTTTTATATGATTGTTTTTTTAATTTAACAATTCAAAAAAAAAAAACTCTGTAATTATTAAATTTTGATAGAAGTTAAAGAAAAAAAGATTTTTCAATGTCTTTTGTGTAAATGTTTATTTCAAAGATGTTAAATTATTCATGAATATCTGATACGGATTATCCGCATAAATCCGTGATGCTTAAAATACAGTATCTACAGTAACACCCCCATAAGTGCACGCACTTCGGGATCGGTGCACTTAGGGAGGGTGTGCATTTAAAGAACAGCCAATAGAAAAATAGACAATTAAAAATCTTACAGAACTTTTACTTTTAATTTAAAGTTTTCTTTTTATTTATTTATTAGTTTCAAAGTACTTTTAATACATTTAAATCAATAGAAACCAACATATTTTATGAACTATCTAATGCCTAACATAAATTTATCTATTTTTAAAAAAATTAATAGTGACTAAACAGCCGTCACTAATTGGTCAATAGTCACGTGAATGCATTTATGGACTCCAATATACCCGGGATCATTCAGAATCACTTGCACATGCGGTCCTCATCAGTCCACAGTTCAAGACCGGACTGTGGACCAGACTGATCGGTCTCCTATAACGATCCTGTACCTATAAAATTTTATCACGTGACTCCAAATAAAAGATTTCACAAAAGCACTAAAACTTTGGCCTGAATTATTCTATCTAAGGATCATCAGTTCTATACTTATATTGGAAATCAGTCCTTAAGCGGTCATGGCGGTCTGGACCGGACCGTTAACATCCCTGATGACTTTATAGTTGCGTACAAAACTTTTATGAATAATGTGCGTATAAAAATAATCTGAATTCCTGACACTAACACTGGTAATGAACGAATAGTATAATCGGATTCTTGTATTTGTCTTTCAGGCTTACTTATGAAATGACAGGATTATAAAATTTCCGTATGATGACCTTTTCGGATTATGGGATTCAAAGATTATGAACTTTCGGGATTGTACCATTTCGGAATTACAATTAAGGATTTGGATTTGGGTTGTCAGGATAACTTCGCAGAAACCTGGTTTATTACTAATTAATCACGTGATCGTATCTGATTAGCCTAAAATTCACATCAACTACTACGTGAGATCTTCAATGAATTGTTACAAATCGCAAAAATTTCGGTAAACAGCATAGGAAATTAGTAAAAAATCCTTAAAACATTTTTTTTATTTTTTTTAGGTTATTCTTTCGGCTCTTGGTTGTGAAATTTTGGTGAGTTGATTTCTTATTTAACAAACGATTAACAGTTCGTTTTCTTTCTTTTTTTTTAGGTGGTTTTGGGTCATGAGATTTTGATAAAGTAATTTTAGTTTTTTTTTCTTTAACGATGTTAATAAATTCTACTAACAATTCATCTTTTTGGTTTTTCTTTAGATTTCACCGATTTTCTCCAGAAATGAAACTCGTCCGAAGGCCGAAGCTGCAGAAACTAGTAGTCTGAAATATCTAACGGCATGTCAGATCTTCAGTTTATTTTTTTCAAATTTTTTTTTAATTTTTTATTATAACTTGCCGAAATACATTTTGAAAATTATACTTACTATCTGTAAATATGCCCTAAACTACTTTATCAATTCCTATTTCTATATCTATATATATATGATTTATTTTTCTAACCTAGCACGCTTGTTTTACGCATTTTTGTCTTTCTTTTCCTTCTTTTATGGTAGTCTTGTCAAACAGCTTGCATTTACCAGATTTTATTCTTTGCGGAAACTTGGTGTTTTGCAACCTAGCGGTCATTACGTGCTTGTCACCAATATTTTCAAATTCGTATCTATCTTGTGACGGATCTATTTCTTTAACGAAACATCTTACTTTTTGACTCTTTTCTTTTTTTAGGCGTCATGCCAAATGATATTATATTAATATTATATTTATTAAGGAACAAACTCAAGCTAAAGAACATATTAAAAAAGAAATCACGCTCAACTCTACAAGCTGATTCTACCAAAGACCGTCATTATGAGTTTATGTCCAGATAATTGGACGTGTAGATTTTGGTGGGTAATAGAATTTTTTTTGAATTTGTTTCTTTTAATGAAACGTCATATTAATGTTTCAATATTTCTTTTTTTTCCTAGGTGACTGGATCTTTATATATATATATATATATATACAGGTAAGGACTTTTTTTTATTATGTTTATTTATATTTGTAGGAATCCAGCTTTGACTTGGGAATAACAGACCGGATCTTTGAGCGTCGACTCTTTGATCTTACTTCTTTTTGTTAAGTGGAATAAATCGACCAGCAAACCCGCCTGACTTCATAATCTAATCACTTGATAAAATGCTAAACAAATCTCCATGCAATTGATAAATAGACTGAAGTTAATCAATCTTTCTTACATAATATCTTCCATGATTTGGCCTTGCCCTATAAAAAATTTTTATCCGAATATTTCCATCATTTCTCCGTGTCTTCCGTAAAAATTCCGTGAAAATGATACATTCACGGAAAAAACATGGAAAGATAAAACACGGATCAGATTTTTTACAGGGTTGGACGTTGAATGAAGTACTTCAGATACTTTATGAGGTTAAAATGGGCAAGTTGAAGCAATTCCACAATTAGCCCATTGTTGATTTTCCATTCCTTGACTTATTTAGTGATGGTATACTAAGATTTAATTTAGTGAAGTCTCATATTAGTGGAATAAAACTAAATTACCAGTAAGTATTGTAGGTTACTAATGACAAATGAATATTTATCTATTAGAAGTTAGTTACAGTGTATTTAGTTTAAGAATATGTATTTTTTTTCAAAGCTGTCTAATATAATTTACTAAAACTCTGCAATTTCAAAAAGAACAATAACTTAAATATTTAAAAATACTTTACTATTTATTTACAAATTAGAAAATACAATTTTACGATTTGTTTGATTTGTTTATAAATTTGATACGATTTCGATAGTAAATTTTTACGATTTGTTGCAATTTTGGTATCTAATTTTGCACGATTCGATCAAGTCAGGTGGAGAATCGCCTTAATATTCAGTAACTTCTTACAGGCGACTTTCAAAATTAAATCGTGATTGTATGAAACTAAATCGTGACCAAATCTTTATAAGTTTTACGATAAATTTTCAATATGGTCACTATTTAGTTTCGATTTTAAAAGTTCTGCACCACATTCGATCCGTAATTCCAGCCTAATTGGTACTGTACGTTGATCACCGCTGCGCCACCAATCTGACAAAAAGATATTGTTTTCTCCCAATATTATATTCGCCAATACCTATTGCTAAATATATGAATGTAGACTTCAGTTTTTTATGTGGTTTAACTTCTCAATCTCCGCATCTTGTATTAAATTGTAACAAATATTGTATAATAGCGTGCGAGTGTCCGGATAATTGACCCATTCCGAATATTTATCGGACAAACATTTTTTATAGGGTTGGGAGCTACTAAATATAGTTTGCGTTATTAAAATTGCGTAAAGAAAAAGTGAATTTTATTTTTGTCCCAAATAAATGTTCCTGTAAACTTTCACATGAAATAATCCTTGAAAATTAGTTTCGGGACTAGGTCAGCAGGACTGTTAACTCAACTTTAAGATTTTTTTTTTTGTCAGTCGACAGTTTAACATTTTATATTATATATTCAAAAAATAAAAAAAGTAAATATCGAAAAATGAATATAATAAATACAAAAAATTTTTTTATATTTCATAATTCATGATAAAAATATTATTAATTAATTATAGTATTGATTTCATATTAATTTGTAATTATTAATAAAAGCCTAATTATAATATGATTTAAGATGTCATTTATAACTGATAAGACGTTAACTTTTGTATGACCATTTAACGGTATACGCGAAAATTTCAAATTATTATTTTATTGACTACCACAAGGATATACTTTCCAATTATTTTGGTGACCATGATAGTGCCAACAGATATCCTGAGTATTATCGAATGGTCCGAACCATTTATCTTCTTTAATAGAACCGGCAACACCAAAAACAAGGTTAAAAGTTATCATATCATCAGGTATAGACAATTCGAAGCCGTGATGAGAAACTGACCAATTATAATCGATCAAACCATCGTCTTCGCCCCAATTATAACGACCACTACCCATATAAGTGAGAGCAGCAGCCATTGCCGCTGTATTTTTGTCCAATTTGTTTTCAATCGTTACTATTTTGCCTATATATACATACATACAATAAATTACATCTAATCAAGACAATAAAATTGAGAAAATTATTTTTATGATTATTCAAAAATTTACCTTCAGTGAGCGAAATAAAAGCTATTAGACTAATTATGATTGAAATGGTTAACACGAAAACGTGGTTGGGCTTCATGATAATTATATAAAAATGATACAGTATATTTGATGAGTCTGATAAAAAGTTTTTGCTTCCTCCTAGTAAATGGTTATATTTCTAATTATTTTTGAATTTCGCTCAAGATTTATTCTTGAGGGGTATTTATTAAAAATTTGCAGCTTATCCTCAAACGTATCTACCGTATCTTAATGAAAGCTTTACTAATAGATTAAACAAAAAAATCCTTTAAACTTTATTAGGCAGCCATTCTTTTTTATTACCCTCGTGAAATTTAATTAAGAACACACTACTTATTACTCCATGCTAAAAAATCAATAAAAGAAATCTTTCATTTAATTAGTGAAATGATCCGGATCATCCACGAATACAAACGGATATCTGTCAGCTGAAGAAAATGATAGATCGAATAAATAATTCGTGGATTATTTGCAAATCACATGAAATTTGCGGATTAAAAAAATTTTTTATATGATTGTTTTTTTTAACAGTTCAAAAAAAAAAACTCTGTAATTATTAAATTTTGAAAGAAGTTAAAAGAATTTTGTAATGTATTTTGTGTGAATATTTATTTCGATAAATTTCGGTTGTAGTTTTTTGATTTCTTAAACATTTTAAAGTATGGCAAAATAAATCCTAAAAAATGCACAATAAATTATATATCCGTATCTCTATTTATGAAAAAGAAAGAAACCACCATTAATTTATTTAATTTCGAATTATTATAGTTGAACTCCATGAATGCAAATTATCCGTGCGAATTGTTCCATGGATTACTTATTAATTCATTAATTATTCATGAATAAATAAATCCGTGATGCTTAAAATATCTACGGATTATCATCTACGGATCGTTTCACTATAGTCCATCATACTAACAATATTGTGGCTGGAAATCATTTATTTTATATTTTGATATGGAAATTCTAATTAGTAGACATTTTTTAAAATCTTTGTATTTAAGGCGTTTAAAATTTTATTTACTACGAAACCCATAAAATCATTAATTATATTTGACCATTAAGTAGTGATATGAACATCTTCGTCAGCAGTAAACTCTACTGATTTTCTTACTATCTCTTTCTTTCATATACCGCGTCGGGTTCGTATCGACATAAACATCTCAAATTCACTATAACAATCGGTTGTCATACGTCATTATTCAGATCCATTCTTTTTATTTACTTGTTTCGTAATTCATTTTAAAATTCTCTACATGCCGAATATAGTGCTACTGAGATAAATCTCCAAGGGATCCATTTAAAATCCTCGCAAATCATAATCCCGATTCCCGAAATTTCAAAATCCAAAATTTCATTATTCCCGATATTTATTCATTATCCTCCTGATAATTACTATGATATTATAGTGACATAAATACAAAAATTTTAAATGAAATGTAGATAAGTACAGTACAATTTTTATTCACATAAACTCGTAAATTCACATTTGATGTCATCAACGAAGTTTATTAGCTACTACTTCATTTATTATTATTGTGACAAGCGCTTCAAGAGTCACTTATCATCCATGAGAAGAACAAACTCGGTTTTATTTCTAAAACGCAAGTCTATTTTTTTTTTAAAATAAAACGTGAATTTCGCTTACTAATAATATCTACACAAACATAAAGATGATTTGTAATTTAAGTTCATACGTACTGTAAAATAAATTTTTTGTATTTATAAGTGTTGCTTCGATCTGTGTACAGATTGATCTTGGATTAAACTGAAAATCTGGATAAAAATCTGCAGTTTGAACCGGATTTTATCAGATTGTTCAGATTTCAGATAACTCGAAACCAAGAAGAGGCCTCAGGGAAAAGAGGAAGCAGAATTCATAGATAACGATAATTAATGGCTTGTGTGGCTTACTTAATACTAGTATTTGATGTTGCGAATATAATGATAGGACTAAAATTTTCCATGCATCCAGATTTTTATTAACTAACTGAATTTTCATCCAAATTAAATAACTATTTAATCCTTACTATAATTACTCAAATGTACAGTAAATGCAAAGTTAAGTTAATTATTATAAAAATTTGGTTTCGATACATTACTACATATATTATCTTTCAATTATTACGAAAAATCAAGTGTAGATTATCCCTACCGGATTCCGTTTGCGTGGTTTAGGTTTATAATAACCATGTCGACTTTTAAAAGGGAATATCAGTTGAGATAGGAAATACAACTTAAAAATTCTTGTTTTATTTTATTAAAATAAAACTTTTTTTAGAAAATATTTTCGATAAAGAGTAGTATGATGGAGATCATTATCCAAAAACGGCTGACGGAAGGAATTAATTCAGGGGATATACTAGTCCTACGATCTCAAAGTCCGATCTGCGGGAATAATTTCAGATTGACAGATCAATTTTATTTATTACTTGTTTTATAATTCATTTTAACATTTTCTCTCAGTTTATAAAATCTCTCAATAGTATATTATTCGAATAATTTCATGTGAAATAACTTAGAGCACGGTCGACGGAAGGAATTAATTCAGTGGATATAGTCCTACGATCCCGATCTGCGGGAACAATAAAAATCGTTCAGATTGGCAGATCAATTTTATTATTACTTGTTTCGTAATTCATTTTAACATTTCTCTTTATTAGCATTATCAACATTAACTATTCAAGGTCTAGTGCAAAATCTCTCAACAGTATATTATTCACTAATTTTATTAACAATTTCATGTAGGACCATTCCTTGAATTTTATCTGCACACAACATTTCCTTGTAATTCTCTTTTTCTTAATTGTATATTATTTGAAATTGACTTTTTAAAATTAAAATTATTATCCTTGTAGGATCATATATACCTTTTCCCTGAAGTTAATGCCTGACAATTTTCCGAACTGGAATTTCCCGAATCACCCAATTTCCCGAATCCCTGTTTCTCGAATTCCAGTTTCCTAAAATCCAATCTCCTGAATCTCGAATTCAATATCCTGAATCCGGGACCTCCACAGAAGGTTTAAATTACGTAATCGATTTTGACGATCATTTGCGATAAAAAGGGATTTCTCAAAAATTGTCTTTATAACTTAGGACGAAATTTTGCAAGCATTTAGCATTTAATTGAAAACTTTTTTTTTTTGCAAGAAATTTGTACAGTAGATATTTTTAATGAAATTATTGTAACATCTTGTAAAAAAAAACTGTTCACCGAAAAACTTATTTAAATTACACCCTTTTTTACTAGATAGAAAAAATTTTCCGACTTATAAGCACATGATCATTGCAAAATCTCAAAACCATGTGATTAGTCCAATTTTCCTGTGGAGGTCCCCATATCCTGAATTCCAATACCCTGAATTCCAATATCACGAATGGACAATTTCCTGACAATAATATGTATTTTTTAAAAATTTACTGTATTACTTAATAGTTTATAAATCATATAGAATAAAAAAGAAAAATATTATTGCAAAACCACCAACCAGGATTTGACTAATTTCGCTAAACAATACAAATATTTTATTCATTATCAAAGGAAAAAAATCAAAATTATCGCGCTTTCAAATTGTGCTATCCCATGCAACTAAATCCGGACAATTTATCTCTATGATCTCATCAGGAATTTTTTTCTACTTAAAGTCACGTGGAAATCCACATCGAATATTGTGGAAATCTGAATATTTTCCAAATACCCTGTGACAATACACGTGGTATTTTCAGCGTAGTTCCACAAATTCTGCGTAGGATTTTGGGAATGTATGGAATTCCACATATTTCCGAGCCAATCTATGTGGAATTACATGGACCGATCTACCTGAAAACAGCTTCATGATACATTTTATCTATTGGAAATGAAAAATTTCATGATGCTGGTAATTTTATTTTTAATATTTCTTTGCATAGGATAGCACAATTCCGAAAAGCGCGATAAAAAATAAAGTATAAAAACAGCAATTTATGCAAATTCACTATTCGGGATCATATTGGAATTCAGGGTATTGAGATTCAGGATATTGAGATTCAAGATATTGGAATTCATGATATCATTAGCAGGAAATCGGACTTCAGGAAAGGATGTTTCAGGAAAATATCCATTTCGGAAAATTAGCATTCAGGTAATTGAGTCCAGGAAAAAGTATATTCGTCCAGAAAATCGTACTACTGTAACCGAAATTATACGTACAAAAGTAATGGAAATTGGGAGCGTACAGTACATCGCTTTAAATTTCTTCGCAATGTGACTGAATGTAGATAGGCGCGATATTGGCGCTTACTATTATTTTATTTATATATAAGAACGCATATGACTTCTAGGGATGCTAACGCTTCAGTCTGGTCTTCATCAGTCCACAGTTCAAGACCGGACTGAGGACCAGACTGATCGTTTCAGTCCTAGTAAAACGGTCCTATAACACAGCAGTAATAAAAAAGATTTTACAAAAGCAGGCCAAACGCTAAAATTTTGGCCAAGTTCCAAGGACCGAAAAAAGTTACAGGATCATCGGTTCTATTGTCCAGTTCTATGTTCGTTCTAAATCAGTCCTTAAGACCGGACTGCGGTCATGGCGATCTGGACCGTCCTAATGACTTCATAGGTTGCGCAATTAAAATATCACAAATATCACCAAAAAATTCGTCAAGTATATTATAAATTTCAGTTAACAGTCGGTAGATGAATTTGTAATTTATTAATAGAACCTAATTATGATATAATTTAAAGGAAAAATCTATTTGGAACGATATGGTGTAAACATCGCCTGGGATTTCGATCACGTGTCAGTATAGGTTCGTTTCTTCTGTCTCAAGGTATTTTTCTTTTTTTCTTTTATTTTTATTTTTTATTTCTAACTTACATTCTTACACTTTGTTTCTTACTAACTCCATTTCATTATTTTTAAGTCCTTTAGTCCTTCCGGTTTTGCAATTAAGGTTCAGTTGGTTTTCACTTTACGTTTCGTTTCTCATTTTTTTTTTACTTGGTTTCCTATCATTACCCAACCTCCTATCATGATCATTTTTTTTATTTTTGTCTCTCACCTCCTATTACTTCTCATTATTCCATCCTTTTCGTCTCNTAATTTGCTAGTATTTTATTTTACAATATGCTTTTAGATATTTAGAGTCAAATGTAGAAATCTGCATTTTTTTCAATCGTAACAAATAATTAGATTATAATATAATAACAATATATGTAAAAATTAACTGTATTTGTTGTATAAATTTAATTGCATAGCAATAAAGCTTTATTACTGAATTTTATATAATTCTAAATCAGCCTGACCATTTGGAGTTACGCTTTAACAAAAGCATAGATGTTTAACTGATTTGTTAGATGAAACCGATCACCTAAAATGTGCAGAATATATCAGTAAAATTCTAGCTGAAGAATAGGAGCTGTGTGATATAAGATCCACATATATATTCACATTATTTTTTTCTCTGACTTAGATTTGCATTTATTTTTGTCATATTTTAGCACCTCTAGCTGTCTCTTCCTGATTCACACTAATATCATACTAACAAAATAATATTCAAATATAGGTATTTTCTGTTAATCATTATTTTTACGTACACATGAAATTAGAAATATTTATGCAGGTCTTACTGAGACCATTTGCAGGATTCCGCTTACTTATAATAAAGGTCACTGTAGAAAATTGGCCCTTTACTAATAGTTTTTACCTTACTTTTTTCTTAATTCTATTGGTTAATTAGCTAAAAAGGAAAAAAATTATAACAATGTAACATAAAATTTTCTTTTATAGTAGAATCTGCAAAGAATTTTATATATGATTTTTACCTTAGACCTGGGGCAGTGTTGTACATGGGACATGTCCCGCCAAAATTTTAATGTCCCGGACATTGTCCCGTCCATGTCCCGTCCACGTCCCGTCCAAAAATTGTCCAAGTTTACAATTTGTCTTATCAAGACAGCACCTAATGGGCTATAATTTATAATTAAGATCACGTGATTTTAATGTCCCAATGTCCCGGACATTGCTAAAATCCTTGGACGTGTCCTGGACTGTCCCGTCCCGTCCATGGACATGTCCCGTCCCTATGACAACACTGCTTGTGGTGATGAATAGTAGAGCCGTAATTTAAAATAACATTTATATCTCTGATTGATCATGAATAAATTTTTTAGGATATGCGCGCGTGATTTTTATTTTTTGACATTGATATTATTTTTATTAAACATAAAATGAAATTACTAAAACTATTTAATTATTTTAAAAATTAACAAGGGTATATAGGTGACCATAAAAGTGCCAACAGATATCTTGATTATTATTGAATGGTCCGCACCATTTATCTTGTTCAGTGGAGAAATCAGCGCCAAAAACAAGGTAATAAGTTGATATATTCTTATCATCAGGTATAGACAAGTTGGAGAAATTGACCAATTCTGAACGATTGCATCGTTTTAATGCTGCCAATCAAAATTACCACTTCCTAATTAAATAAGTGGTGGTAGAAGCCATTTCGTTGTACCTCTGTTCAATTTGTTTTGAATCTATACTGTTTTACCTATATATAGTATATATATCCAATGTATTACATACATAATAATATTAAGAGAATTACTGTTATAATTATTCAAAAATTTACCTTCAGTGAGAGATATAAAAGCTATTAGGTTAAAAATGATTGAAATGATCAAGATGAAAAGAGGATTAGACTTCATTATAATACTATAAAAATGATATTAGTGTATTTGATGGGTCTGATAAAACTTTTTACTTCTTCTTATTAATTGGTTATATTTCTAAATATTTTTTGATTTTACTCAAGATTTATTCTTAAGGGTATTTATAAAAAAATTTGCGACTTATTCTCAAACGTTATCGTTATCTCTTTATGAAGGCTTTAAAATTCATTAGGCTTTTTTTTATTACTCTTGTGAAACTTAATTAAGAACATACTCTGGAAAGTATTACTATTTCACGCCAAAAGTCGATGAAATCTTTCATTAAACCGTTGAGTAGACTGATTTCCCTAATGTCATTTTCCCGAAATATTATTGCCTGAAGTCATTTTTTCGATTACCCATTCCCGAACTAGATCATATTCCCAAAACTCAATTTCCCTAATATTGATATCTTGAATGGTCATTTACTAGATTAATAAATGATGTAAAGGTTTCTTTTTAACCCAATCCATTTTACGGTGCATGAAAATGATTGACTGCTAAGATAATTTGATTACAAAATTTAAATAAAATAAATATATAAATAATAAAAATAATAATGCAATATATGTACGTAAACTTTTTTACGTGAGAATAAAGAAACTACTACGCAGTAATTATTGTTCTTGACGCAATAATTCATTAATCCTTGTTATTGTATTATTTTTAACTGTATTATTTTTACCATACTGTATAGATACATATATTATAAATACAGTCTATACAGTCTAGATATTGGAAATTGCATTCAAAAAATTGACTTTAGGAAATGGTACAATTGGGAAAATGACATTCGGAAAAGGTCTCATACTAACAATATTGAACATTTATTTTATTTATTGATCTCATATTTACAACCAGGAAATTCTAAGCATCTTTTTAAAAATGTTTGTATTACAGTAAAGACTTTTTTATTTTTTATTAGGATTCATATCATATGTAAGTAAAATGGTTATTCTCAATTAACAGATCTGCAGAATGCTTGTCACCTCATTCTTTTTTGTTACTTATTTCGTAATTCATTTTAACATTCCGTGAAATTTATAAAAATAGATTCAAGGTCTAGTACAAAATCTCAATAGTACTCAGCTCGCTATCTTTTTACATTTTAATGACAATGTCATGTAGTGGTATTATTTATTTCACGGGAAGTTTGGTTTCCCTTCCCAGGAAATAAATGTGTAATCCCCGTGGAGCGTGTCACTCATTAAATTTAGCACGTGATTAACTATTTCTAAACTAAAATCCCGGCTAATCTACATGAGACCGGGAAATAAGTATAAACTCAGCTAATCACTCGCAATTTCAAAAATTAGTATGAAGACAATTCATATAGTGCTTTCCTTATTTTTTTTAAAAAAAAAAAAAAAATTTTTTTGTAATCATTTATTTCTAGAAAATTTCAAAATTTCATCAAATATTATTTTTTCATAATAAAAACTAACATAATTTTTTAACATCGTGATGCGATCATATTATATACTAATACTATAATTAGAATTCATATACAGAATAGGGATTCGAGATATAAAATTGCGGGTAGCGATTTCAAAAGATTTTACAATTGATGCTCTATTTTCTGAACTTTATTAATGAGTTCTTTTCTCCCAATATTATTACGATAAGAACAAACTCGTCTTTCTTTTAAAACGTAAGTTCTACTTTTTTTTTAAAAAAAAAATTCTCATACGTATGAACTTAAATTATGTCATTCATATAATAATATATCTTATTTTCAATTTCATTATCAACATGAACCAAAATATTTTTTCAAAATATGATCATAAGAAAAATCACGTCTAAAATCAATAGTTTTTTTAATTCGCAGTATTTATCATATAGTAATTAAACTTTTATGTTAATTACAAAATCAATTATTACAAAAATAATTAGTTTCAAGACATCATTCTATGAGTATTTCTTTTCCAAGATTTAACAATTATTGGATCACCTATATCAATATAGAACTTCGAGATCAATCCTCTGTCACGTGTTTAAGCATTTAAATAAATAACGATACACACGCGCACGTGATCTTTAATTTAATCAAATGATTTTCAAGGGTATACTTCCCAACTAATAATGTGGATCCTGATCATTATTGAATGGTCCTCGCCATTTGTCTTGTTTAGTGGAGTCTGAAACGCCAAAAACAAGATAATAAGTTGTTATATTCTTAGAAGCAGTTGTGAGCAATTGACCAATCCTGATCGATTGCATCATTATGCTGCCAATCAAAATTGCCATTTCTTAAATATGTTTGATCGAGACATAAGAACACTTTATCATACAGTTTTAATGGGGTTCGGTTTATTTCACCGACAATCATTTCACCGTCAGTCATTTCACCGACAGTCAACTTACCGACAGGGACGAAAATCATTTCATTTGAGTTTCCATAAACATTTATAAGGTAATAGTTCATTGTGATTGTATAATAAATACGACTTGGTTATAATATACCATAGAATTTAAATTTGTTATGCCCTCGCTTTATTTGATTTACTAGTTTTAATATAATAAATATTTAATTAATCTAATCCGTATCATGTCTAAATGACCATGAACTTCAATTTATCCGGTCATGTGCCGAGTCGTCACGAGTATCCGGATTCGGTACGTTCGCATTAATTGTACCGTAAGATGGAGGTGTTTCACAATCATTACGAATGAGACTTAAGAGAGCTTCTAATTTGCATATATAATAAAATCGATAAATTACGTAATATAAAAGTAACTACATGATTGAAAGAAAAAAAAAAATTTTTTTTTTAATAAGATCGAATATTACATATTAACATAGTAAAATAATTTTTTTTTACAAACCTCAATAACAAAAATAATAATTAATATAAGTTCTGCTTCTGCTTTAAGTTCAATCAACTTGTAAGCACAAAGCATTATATCAATTTCCGATGCATTTCTACCGAGCATTTTTTTACAAATTTCTATATTTTCTTTTTTCATATCTTCAAAACTTGGTTCATAGTGTTGGATCAAACCAAATATATTCGACCAAATAATGATTACAAAGTATGCACAACCTATAGAATAGATTGTAAATATAATTAACTTAAATATATTAAATAAAGAATAATGAGATTACAAACCTAGAGATTCGGATAATTTATCAGCAGCTAAATTAAGGAGTGTGAGAAGCAAAATAATGCCAGAAAAGATACAAAAAAGAACATTATATATGCCAATATAAAAATAGAAAAAAGGAGCAATGAAATTGACAATCTATTATAACAAAGTATAAGTTTAATAACGTTATTGTAGTTTTTTTTCTTTTAAAAGAAGATTGAGAAAACTTACGATTCCAAGAACAAGAAGAGTGTAAATAATCGTCCTAAACAAAACATAAGTGATACTTATATTAAATTTTAATTTATCAACATAGTGAATAAAAATTTCAATATATTTTCTTACCTAAAAATACTGAAAAAAAAATAATTCATAGTTTAAAAAAAAAAAGAAACAAGTGAAAATAAAGTGGCAAATATATTATGACAGTTCGTTCTTATAAATAAATGTGAATTCAGTAAATCTTTCTGGTTTAAATTTAAATTTTTGTATTATCATATATCTAACATGTGCAATATGTATTCACATATGCTTCGAATAGGTACTAAAAATTGGTTTTTGACATTGATTCTATATGAATGATTGGGGATCTATATTTAAATAACTGTGATAATAATAGATAATCTTGTATTTCATTTTATTTTATGGTTAATATGATTAATCTTCATATGAATAACAGAAATGATAACTATTATGTTGATTCAAAATTATACCGATATTTTTCTAGGAAATATAAATAAATTATTATGATACTTGATTCATTGACAAATTGAGTAGATGAGGTAAATATGAACATGGTACATTGCATTATCATGCATGTCACATGCATATAAATACACAATCATATTCCTTTTCTAATACAATGCAAACTTTATTGTCCAGAAGACAATTTTACCGTACTGAATTAGCAAAATTTGGTTAAGTCCCCTATCATAAACGTTTCCTTTTTTCGAATATTATTTAAGATGAACCCTAAAATAGTCCAAGATCGAGTATCATTTTTAATCTAATTCTATGATTTGAATAAAAAATTGAATTCCACTTATAAAGAAGAAATCAATTTTATAAGTAATTATAAAACCATATAATATTGCTAAAATTACAGTATTTTTAAAATTATTTAAGGAATTATACTGGAATTACTTTTTTTCTTTATATGTTTACATATATCAAAGTAGCTAATAGATTGTATAATTAATTCGAAGGTCTACGCAAAGATTTCACAAAAATGACAATGACCATCTCAAAAATTGAGTCGACGCGTGCTTGTGCAGTACTACAGTCTGCAGTTGTGCTCCGGACTTAACAACGGTTGTTTCTAGTAATTTATAATTATATAATATAAATATAAAAGTAAATAACTTCAAAAACCTTTTATATGCTATCATATTAATAGGTTTCAAAAGATAATTTATTGAAGTTACCTTTCAAACCATCTTTTCATAAAAATATAGCAATTAATTTCAAAATAATTGTGGGGAAGTAAGAACTTAATTTTTTGTAAAAAAAATTATTATATGTTATGGTGCAAGTCTACTCCGATCTCCAGTAGTTGCAGTATTAGGTTACGTAGTAAAATAACTTCATTGAACATTGCAAAATCTTCTACAGTAGTTGGAAAAGAAGGTGGAATTACTCATTGTTGGCCTATAAGATTAATGTATAATTATTTAAATTTTTTCTTCGAGAAGAACGATTACATTACATTTCTGATCCCTCTGCATTTTCTGCTGTGTGCAAATGATGTTACGTAACTGATATTAGTTTCAGCATTAGCATTTAGCAGCTAATGAGTGAAATCCTTAAAGCTATTAAACATACAAAGGATGCTGGAGGTAAATACGCGTAAGGTTACAAAATGTCGAAACCTGTTTGGACATGATATTCATGATATACAGTTTGCATATTACCAGATAATCAATTTATTTATCTGATATTATCTAATTTAAAAACCTTTTTATTAGAAAAACTTTCTTAGGTTTAGGCGGGAAGAAGTATCAGTACGAAACTAATATTTTTTTGCTTTTTTTTTTAAAGGAACATTTTTTAACGTTCTTTTATTCTTTTTTTGTAAGTTCTGATATTCCAAGTTTCCAAAATGGTGAAAAAATAAGCGGTTCAAAACTTGAAATTCAGAATTGGTAAGTTTCACTATGTTTTGTTGCGAACCTTTAAATTATTTATTTTATTTTCTTTTTTTTCTTTTAGAAATGTATACTAACATTTCATTTATTTTTTTTCTTGTAAGCTCTCCGGACTTATTGGACGAACCGGACTTGACTTATCTTAAATTTGAGTTCTTTTTTCTAAGTATGTTGCAACAATCTTGGTGAAACATGGAACTTTGAAGCAAGGAAATATTATAGTAATAGGAAGTTAAGTTTCAAGCCGTGCGAGTTCTTCTTCCGGGAGTTCTTCTGGTGAGTACATTAATAGCTCGATGTCTTTTTATTATTTTTACTAATATACTGTATATCTGATCGCAGGCTCGGGCATTAGCCTAACTATCTGGACTCAATTCAGGGAGATTTTCGATAGAATTAGGGCCGAAAAAAGATTAAACTTTAAGATGAGCCCCATGTAGCAATAGAGATTCGTACACTTGGTGAGAAGGTTAAGAAAGCTATGGTTCAAGGGTTCTATGAAAGAAATATTAAGATGATGGGTACAATAAAATTAATAAAAATTTAGATAGTAATACAGAGTAGTGAGATGGAACTTTGCAATTTAATTCAAAGATTATCAACGATGGACTTTCTTTAAACAAGCGAAATTAATTCAGTGACTAGGTGCAACCTTTGGGATAGCAATGACACAAGCAAAGTTTACAATGTCTACAACATCTTTCATCATATTCATCACCATATGCCCATAAGGTATTAATTGATTCTCCTTTGTTCCACGTTTGATATTTCGTGTTCTTTACAATACTAGAATTAGATTTAATATCTGTTATCTCCACAAATTCCCCTTTCAAAATGTTTGTGCGAATCTCGTGCAGTGATACAGGGTGCAAGTAAATTTTCAAGATGATATTCCCTGATCAATTCGCAAATTTTAATGAAAATACTTGGATTCTCGATAAGTTTTCGAGGGTATGTTTTACCTGAAAATCATTGGAATACTCGAATACTGACAGTTCGTTATTATCTTCAAGTAATCAGCTTGCAGGATAAGTTTCGTCTGTTGAAAAATCTGCAGAAGTGATTAAGGCTGGAACGGTTTTGGTGAAACTGAAATTTCTCAATCATCACTTGATGATGAATTGATCGAAGTCCGAGTTCAAACGAATGTTCTTTGGATAAGGAATAAAACTTTTCTAAGAATTCATCAAGTGAGCACGCTGTTGCAAGATATTTGAGGAATCCGTAACCTAAGGAAGATTATTGTATCTGGTGGAACTAAATTTTATGAAGTTGATGTCATTTGTATGATATTCACGTAAAGAAATATAAGAGATGTATTTTTGTTGGGCTGATGATGATGATGATCAAAAATTCTAGTTATTTTTCGGATTGTCAATGAAAGTCTGAATTAGGACTTCATTAACTTGGGGGTTGTCTTATCCGGACATTTTTTATCTATTTATTACTCGATTCCGGTCCATCAATGATAGTCCCGAATTAAGACTTTATTAACAAGGGGAAATTTTTTATCTCTCTAATACTTAGGATCTTTGGAAAAAATTCATTCCGAAATAATTATCTGGGAATATTATTGTAACTAAATTTTGTGAAGTTGATATATAAGTGTCATTTGTATGATAGTCACGTAATTAAAGAGGTGTGTTCTTTATATTTTTGTTTAGCTTATGATGTTGATCAAAAAATTCTAGTTATTTTCCGGTTTATCAATGAGAGTCCGAATTAGGACTTCATTAACTTGGGCGTTGTCTTATTTTTTATCTCTCTATTACTAGGATCTTTGGAAAATTCATGCCGAAATGATTATCGTTCAACGAGGTTATGCAGGATTTATTTTTTAAAGACATACTGTATTGTAGTTTGTAATTTGATAGAAATATTGGAAACGAATGTTCCGGACAGGAGGTGCAAATATTCTTGTTTATGGTCATGCATTTGGCCTTACAAAAATATAATGCTAAAACGAAAAAAAAACGACGCGTATGAAATCCACTATACAAAAAGTCTGCTATTAAGAATCACACGTGCAACGATCATAGAGCATTTAAAGTTTTAGGTTTGCTAAATAAGACCTAATTCTTGGAATAACTACATATGAATCTCCGTATCTTCGTAATACCAAACATACATTAGGTCAATCCAATTCTTTTCGTATATCGTTTTTAGTGAATTATAGCAGTTTATATCAAGTAAAATATTGGATTCATTTTATGTGCTAGAGCGCATTGAGATAATATGTGAAACTTTTCTGTAGCGCTTATAAAAAATTATATATAAAGTCAGATATAAAAGTATATATTTATTTAATAAATATAGTTTATATACATTGATAAATTTATAATAAATATGTACGGTTAACCTGACGCATCTCTTCTCGAAGTGCCCATAAAATATCATATAGATTGTATGTATCCATTCTCGAATATTTATCAAATTTTTGTAAATAAACCATGAAATCACAAAAATTTCTTTCGTGAAGGTGATTTCCAAATAAGAAATAAAATTTTGAGACCCACCCATTTCATGTCACCTGTCACAACTCGTCCTTCCTAGGGGGGGGGAACGAGTAACCTAACAACGCAACATTGAGTCAGCCAGTCTCAAGCAAAAGACGATTCCAAGTGCAGGGACAGCTACTTACCCTAACTCTTTGGCTAATTCATCTAGTACATCCTCCTGAACTTTCTCCTCCACATGGAAATTATGATAATCGTCACGGGTTAGTTGGTTACCACTAAGCAGCATAAAAGCGGCGATAACTGTGCCCGTCCTGCCGTGCCCATATCCGCAGTACACAAGGGTCGTCCTCTGAGCTGGCAAGTATGAATCATATGCCTCGCGTAACTGTCTAATCGTTGGAGCAGTGTAGTCTTCAACCGGTAGGTTGAGGTAGCTAATGCCACGTTCCTGCAATCTTTCGATAACGTCGTCAGTTAGGCTGATCTGGTTCATGCTGATGACATTATTGATGCCATTGTCAACGAGGAACTGAATAGCATCATTATCCATATTCTGACTCTCATCACGGCCGGTGTAGTGAGGCGCAGAGCTGCGCGCCAGCCGTTTGGATATCACCCATTCGAATCGACTGAATATTGCCATCTCGAGAAATTGTAGAGGCAAATAGGGATGTTAAAAAGATCAACTTGGTTGATTTTTGAGTTGATGTGAAAAGATATCAATTTTATAGTCGGAAAAAAAAAATAATAGGGGCTGTGCAACGTAAGATTGGATTTTACTTCGAACAAAAAATTTTACTACCACTTTCCTTTTATGGAAAATGCCCATTTTTTTGGGGGGTTCAATTTGGTAGGCACGAAGAGCTGTCCTAAAGTTCAGGCAATTCATTAAACATAGCTACAGTATCAAAACTTGGTTTAATACGTATTATATTTTACATAATAACGGAAAAAAGTCGAATATCAGAACCGGATCAATTATTAAGGGATCTGCCGAAATGGGACTCAGAATGAAAATAATGAAAATGGTATGCACTATGCAGCCATACAGATAATCTCTCATTTTGCGTTTGAGATGTGTCATACGACAATCATCTAAGTTCTTATTTTTCCGATCATACCTTAAACGAATACTTTATTAAAATTCAAAAGCCTGATTGAAAACGAAACTTTAATAATAAATTCCAGAAATTATTACTGAAAACATGGCTATATTTTACAGATTCGCGATTTTAAATTTCTTCAAAAATGGCCCGACTCCCCAGTTTTGACTTCTAATGTTATGCCATAAAACACACAATTAAGTTGAAATTCTATTGATATTAAATAAATATGCGCGTTCAATATAGGGATTGGAATCGATTCAATCGAAAATCGAAACCCAAGAATCGATTTAAGAATCGATTAATCGTTTCTCAGTAATTTTACAAAAAAATCATTTTTTAAACATTTTCGTGATGCAACGCTTTCGATGATCCCGGCGGCACAAAATTTTAGGTGGATTTTAACCAAAATACTAAAATAACCTTTATTGTAAAATTTGAAATTTTTGATTTAAAAGTAAAATGATTTTATTTTTGCACTGAATAAAAAACCTGAAAATTTATTAGCTAAAGTAATTATTATATAAAAAGTCAAATTTTGTTATCATTATAATAAAATATATATATATAAATATGCAACATTTTTGGCCCGCATTATAGAATTATATTTAATTCTGGCCAAAAGATGATCCAGGCTCCTGAACTCGAAATTATCAATTAATTAATTAAACATTAGCCACAATTAACTTTTTTTCATTGTGGCATGGTTATAGAAATAGCAAGATTATATTTGCTGCACCAAAATATAAAAGAATTTGATAATTTTTAGATTTGATTAATCGATTCTATTAGATACAATTCAATTTTTGATTAAATCAATTTTAGTTGAATCAATTCCAATCCCTAATTCAATACTGGAATTAACAATACAAATTAGTATGGTGAATTATTATAAAATCTATATAAAATCTTATTCATGCAATGTATATCTAAACATTTAGCATTCTTTTCGAATGTATAAAATTAGGGATATATATATATCTCTATAGATAGAAAAATGGATCTTACTAACCTCAATAAAATATGTTACATTGATAATACTATAAAATAATTTAATGCATATCTGAAAAGCATGGCTTCTGACCATTTTGTAAAATAATCTATTGCTACTACAATATATTTATTTCTTTTTTAATGGTCCCACTATATCTATCCCTATCATTTCAAATGGTTCATTTATCTTTATTGATCTCAATTCATTTCTTTCCCTTAGTTTACCTCTTATTTGACAATTCCAACATGTTTTTACATATTCTTTTACATTCTGTCTCATATTTTTCTATCAATAATCTTCCTTTATTCTATTGTAAGTTGCTTCAATTCCAAAATGTCCTAATAATTCATTATTATGCATCATATATATTAATCCTTCATATTCATAATCCTTAATTACTCTAAATTTTCTTTGATTCAGTTCTTTATTCAATTATTTTGATATAATATTTCTTTTTGTTGTTTTCTTTTTCAATATTTCCAATTATTTTTTTGTATTTCACTTTATCCATTTTTGTTATTCTCCTCTCTATTTTTTATTTCTTTATATATTTTTTTCCAACTATACTTGTTATTCTTAATTTTCACTTTACTATATCTTTTCATATCTTTATACAAATTCTGATTTTCTTTAAACATCCTAACCATATCTATATATTCTTCTTCTTTTAACATATCATATAATACTTTGTGTCATATTCATTATTCTCTAAAAATATTACTATTGATTTATTATTTTTTCTTTTATATTTTAAATATTTCCTTTTTCCATCTTATGATTTTTATACGAATTTATTAATTCTCTATTAAAACTCTTTATTTTCTAATAAAAATATTTGCAATAAAGTGACTTATTTAGTATTATTATACCAGGACCCCGAACAATACTGATACAATTCACATTTGATAGGTTAACAGTAATTTTTATTAATTATTTATAACTTCGTAAACACAAAATACAATGGTAAAAAGTAATATAAATAAAACTAAAATAAAAAAAAAATAGTCGCACAAATTTGTACATATAGAGAAGTAACCTAAACTATAAATCCCAAACTTGTATATCCCAACTTTAAACCTAAAAAGCAAAGTTTCAAATCAACTACCCAAACCCAGAAAATCTTACCTGATTTTACAATCCGTCAAGATGTGATTCCAGATGAGGACTGTTTGACTCTTCAAAAAACCCAACAGGTGATAAGACCATGAGTATCGTTGGGTTAAAGAGGAATGGAGCCACTTGATATTAAGAGAGGATCATTCAGAAGCCTGAAGACAATTCACATTTGAATTTGCGTAGAGTTTATATTAAAATTTTTCAAAAGTTGTGTATTACAGAGGTATTTTCAAAATTTTGTTATCCTACATATCCCTGTTTTTAACACAACCAGTAATTTGATTTTAATAAAATTTATATCATTAGATTCATCTTGATGAAAGGAATCTAATGATAGTAAAATCAAATTCTTAGCTTCAATATTGACAGAGTTATATCATATAATGTATTTTTACTTCAGTACTTAAAGTTTACTTGTGAGTTATATTAGTATTATTCAGGGTCCTATTATACCTGTATTCTTATCATTATATTTTTTTATTTTTTTATTTATTTATTTTACCACTTCTTTTCTAAATTTTCACTTTGTTTCCTTTTTTAGTTTTTCAAACTTTTTTTAGTCTCCTCTTTTTTTTTTAAATATATTAAATCTAATTTACAATTCTAGTTTTTTTTATTCTTTAATTAAATTATTTACTATATTTGTTTTTTCTACTCCACTAGCATTTACTTCTTTATAAAAAATTTTATTTATTATTTTTGTAAAAATTCTGTAAAAATGAACCTTTTACAAATCTATTTATGGAAAATATAAATAATTTAATAAATTCCATGATATAAAGTTATTAATTCCAGAAATATGAGCCTTTTATAGAAAAAAATGGAATATAAAAAATAGATTAACTTTTTTTATAAGACTCTATTAATAATTATAATTTCTGGTTGATTATTATATAACTAATAAACTCATGAATTGCACTACCTTGCAAAAAAAAATAATTTCTGGTTATTCTTCTTCTATTTTTAATAATCTATTCAAAGCATTTGCATTTTTATTCTCTTTTTCTAATCTATATACTACAAAATTATACAATACATATAACTTAGTCACAACAAAAAAATTTTTAAGCGGCCAAATTTAAAATAACTGTCATATATTACCTAATACTTTAATATAAGAGCTTACCCCCTAGGTAAGATATGTTATATATAATTCCTTATACCTTTATAGTCACTCCCATTATAGTCACATTCTACTATATAGTCACACCAGTTGAATATTCAAAACACTTTATTATTAAAATCTATTCTATATAGTCACAATCTATCTATAGTCACTATCACACCTATCCTCAAAAATCTTATATTAAAAAGAACCGTTTATAATCACAGTTATACAGTCGACTCTGGATATAACGAACCTTCCATTCCAGGAGATTTGGTTCGGTATAGGATGAGTTCGTTATATAATATACACATTTTTATACTGAACTGTTCGGTATATAAAATTAACCAATAAAAATATAAACATGTGACAGTTCGCAATAATTTATTATTATACAATATTTATGATATTTTATTTATTATTATATTATATGTAAAGTATATTATATACAGGAATTATTGTTCAATATTATTGTGAAAGTAATTATGAATATCAACTTGTTTTAAATTTTCCACAATTAGCAATTTAATTCGCTTATGCAGCCCTCTTAAAACTTTTAATTCGTTGTTTACTTTACCAAATTCTGGTCCTTGTTCATACAAAAATCTCATTATTTTATTTGCAGCATCATCTGCTTCTGCTAAACTAACTTTTTCCAATACAGGTAGAGATTCATCTTCATCAATTAAAAGCTCTTCTTCATTATCTGCATTTAATATAGTATTAATTATTTCACGATCAATAAGTCCTCCTTCTGGCATTTCATCTTCTATATGAAGATACTCATATGCATTAAGATTACTTTTTGGAAGTTGAGCAATTAGCATATCGAGTTCCTCAATTTTTCTATCTAGTATACTAAAAATTTAACATGTGCATTAATAAAATTTCGTAATAATTTCTACATATACACTTTGTTATATCATACCTATCAGAAATTACTGAATCATAATCTTCAGGAATTTCTTCAATTTCATTATTTGGTGGAAGAATACCTGTTTTTTTCCAGCAATTTGAGATTGTTTGGGATGATACCATAGACCATGCTTCAGCTGCATTTTGCAAAGCATCATAAATTGTATAATCATCAAGTTTTTTTACAATACCATCCTGCATATTATCATATGCATTAATCCGATTTTGAATAAAAAGTCGTTTATAATGACATTTAAATGAATGAATTATGCCTGCATCACATGGTTGAAGTTCAGTGGTGGTATTTGGTGGTAAAAATTTCACTTCTACACTATCTAATTTTTCCCGAGTTTCGTCTAAAATAAGATGCACTGATGCATTATCAATTAATAGAATGATCCTTCTATTTTTTTTTTTCATTATTTCATTAAGTTTAAGAAGAACCATATTAAAAATACTAACTTGCATCCAAGCTTTATTGTTCCAAAAATAATAAACTGGGAGGTTCTTATAATTAATATTTTTCATAACGCGTGGAGCTTTGTATTTATGAATAAATGAAAGAGCCATTTTTTCTGTCCCAGTTGCATTTGTCGCACAAAAAATTGTAACTCGAGATTTTTCTTTCTTATGTCCTGATAAAGGACCACGTGCTAATACCCTAGAAGGTTCCATTTTCCAGAAAAGGCCAGTTTCATCGCCATTCCAGATATCCTCAGGCTTGTAAGGTGCAAGAATCTGTTGTAAAGCAAGTCGGTCATGTTCTATTGATTCAGCAGAAGGTGCACTTGCGGCTTCACCTTGCTTCTTGTATTGGCGTAAACCATGGCATTTTTTAAAGCCAGTTAACCACCCGTCTGATTGATGAAAATCTTCTATTGAAAACTGGTTAGCAAAGTAACTCGCCTTTGTTTTTAAAATATTACCATCAATATCCTGTTTCGTATTAAGTGCGTTGTCAACCCAAAGACTGAGTGCATTTTCAAGTTGTGGCCACTTTGGACCACGAAATTTTTTAATACTTCCTTGACTTTCCGTAATTGAAAGCCATCGCTCTTTTTCTTTCAAAATATCAGTTATTGTTGACTTTCCAACACGGTATTGTTGTGCAAGACTAATGTTAGAAAGGTTAGGATTTTTTTCCTTTGTCTCGCAAAGTTCACGTTTTTGTGCAGCAGAAAGGATAACTCTCTTTCTTGACATATCGGAATTTTTAAACAAATTTTTTCCGTGCTCTGATAAGAAAAGATTATCCGCGTCTTGGTAAAATAGATTTTCCGTGTCTTATGCGATTTATAGCATGATTGGTGTAACTAATTTATCACGTGATATTTCGGTATATCAAATATATAGATTAATATAACCGTTCGGTTAAAATAGGTTCGGATGCGGTATATAGCATTTTATTATATAGTTTCGTTATATCCAGAATAATTAATTATAAAAAATTCGGGTCTGTGATATTTGGTTCAGTATATCAAAATTTCGGTATATACAGGTTCGTTATATCCAGAGTCGACTGTATAAAGAATATATTAAATAACTTGGCATCTAATAATCGTACAAAGATGTATCATAGCTTGTTAGAATCGTCTCACTGAGACGAATCGAATGGTAGTAGTTTTATCCTTTTACGATCACTGGCTGATGAGTTATTCAACAAAATGGTAAGCATCGGCATTATTATATTTCTTAATTTACGTTTACTGCGCCATTTAACATTTTGCTAAATTTCTCAGTACCTATTGGTGGTAAAAAGACGATTAATAGCTCGTTGGAATCGCCTCATCAAGACGAATCGAATGGTGGTAAGTTTTTCTCTCTAGGATCAATATTGGCAGAGTTATTACACAAAAACCATTAATATTTTTTTAATTTCGGAAATTAATCTAGTGATTGGATATCGATGTATTTTATACCATTAGAACCGTCTCATCAAGACGAATCGAATGGCGGTAAGATCATCTCTCTACGATTAATATTGGCGGAGTTACGATACAATAAAGTTTTGAGTATAATTTTGGCCAAAATTATGTTAATTTTTGGCCAGAATTATGATATACTAATATAAGAAATTTTTTAGATAGTCACATCTCTTTATAATCACCAAATATGGACTGTCCCAAATGTGTGACTATAAAGAGAGTTGACTGTATAGTATTGTATGTAATTTAAGATCTTTGGTTATCTTCCTTCCCCTAAAATATTAGGTAATATCTGACAGCACCCTTAATGGTGAATAATAATTAGTATAATTTCTAATAAACTTCATTTATTTACATATCTTAAAATTTTAAAAGTATATACTTTATTACTTATACAAGTTAGACATTATGATCTGTTATATACTTGTAGCTAAAACCTTTTCACATGATTTTTGGCCACGTCTTTAAATCAAAATTAAGTTAAAAAATGATAAAAATTAATCTCTACATCTAGCCGAAACTATAATATAAAGTCTTTGGAGTTTCGGATGGATTTCTGGATAGTTTTTAATAATTTATTATAATTAAATTACTGAAAGTCTGAAACCCTGTCCAGCTTCATAGAGGTTTCAGCTACATGTATAATCTGTTATTTTTATAAAACTGAAACAGGTAGTAATAAAAATTTTGGTTTTAGTAAAAATTTTACTGGTATCAGAAGTAACTTTTTAATTGCTTAAATATTCCATATACTGTATATGCTTCTATTAAAAATTAATTTATTATAATTGGTCTTTTACCAGAATTATAAAATTCTGCTTACTTATAATAAAGGTCACTGTAGAAAATTGGCCCTTTACTAATAGTTTTTACCTTACTTTTTTCTTAAATTCTATTGGTTAATTAGCTAAAAAGGAAAAAAATCATAACAATGTAACATAAAATTTCCTTTTATAGTAGGATCTGCAAAGAATTTTATATATGATTTTTACCTTAGGCCTGGGGGTGACCTATCTATACATAAAGTCGAAATTAAAGCCCAAAAGTAGAAATATTTCGACTTGGAAAGGTCAAAAGTCAAAATTAAAGTTGAAATGGTCGAAATTACATCATAGTCATGTGATTTTTATAATTATAATTTAATATAAAATTTTAAACGTGAATAACTCCGTCAATATTGATGCTACAGATATGAAATACATATCAATGGAATCCTCTCGATGAGCTGAATCCAACCGCGTAAAGATCATAAAAATTGAATCACTGGATGCGGAGTTCGTTAACTTTGAATTTTAATATTATTGTTTACTATAAAATCATATGACTATGACGTAATTTTGACCATTTTGACTTTTGGAAGGGCTCAAGTCGAAATCATTTTGACCATTTTAACCATTTCAGAGATCAAAATTAACCAATTTCGGTTTCATGTATAGACCTATCTTATAAGTAAGTGGGGTCCTGCATCAATATAACATATTTCACCAGCTTGCTGAACATATTGATGTATTCTTAACATTAATTGAGTTACTACTATAAGAATAAAAGCTTGATTGGTATTTGAATCATATGGAATAAGTTTAGCAATACCTTTTTTACTTTGATTATATTCATCAACAACATCTTTAAGTTTCTTTCACATATCTATTCCATTTTTTTGACCTAAAGTTGCATTTCTATATAATGTAAAAAGATACTGTACTGCTTACTGATCAGGATTTATTGAACAATCTGCTAAAGTCAACTGTAAATTATCTTTACTAGTTCAAGCTGAAATTTAAAATAGCGATATGCTGATGCAGCATTATACCCTTTTTCAAATAATGAATTATATAGTAATTTTGTTGAACTTGAAACTGATCTAAATGATAAAGAATGAAATGAATTAATTGGATGATTGTGGTTAAAACTAAGTTTAACTATACATGAATGTGATAATGTTAAGTCTTTAGTTTAAACTTTATTAAGAAGTAAAATGGCCAAACATCCTATATTATGATTTCTTGAATTATTTTCACTTTGTTGCTTTACTTTGGTTTGTTTTCTAATACTTGCAATATCTGTGTATTGATAGTAAAAATCTTTTCTATACAATACTTTTTTTATTTTAACTGCTTTACACAGGTCGAACAGATGTCATTGTCGCAAAATTTGCCTGGAATTTTTCTGGCAAATTGAGAATTATCCCAGTAAATTGGGGTAAATTGTGTTACAATTTTGGGATAATGGAGGACTTACAATTTGGCAAATTTTGTCAAAATGGCGGCATTCCTACAGAATTCCTAATTCAAATGTTGAGAAATTTTTCAGTAAATTATCATTAAATTGTGGGAAATTTTAGGCAAATCTTTAGTAATGTTATGCAAACGAAGTG